GCCGCTGTTATATTAGTGAAAAAGCTCTGCAATAAATCCTGAATTTTCAATTTTATAAAAACAAATTCTATTTTATGTCAGAAGCAATACAGAAAGCAATTTGTCATCTGGGCTTTGCCTGAACTACGGTAATATTGAACAGATTAGAATAAGCATTTAGGTGCGGCTTATTTGTCAGATTAAAAGTATCTTTAAATAACAACCTTCATGAAAGTATTAAACCTTTCATAAAGCCCACATTTTTCATTGGTTTGATGTCATAATCCAGCATTGAATGTTGTGTTTTTATTAGCTGTAGGTGCAATATCAGCACAATAAACAGCTTAAAAACATCAGTCTGTGAGTATTGATTTAAATGCACATGTAGAATAAACATGTTGAGATGACTTCCTCTGCTATGATATGACAAATACTAACCACTGCTCCACCTGCACGCCCTATTATATGTTACATTAATAAAATCTAATAATATCTGTCCAAAACACAAAGTAGCATCTTATGTGGTCTAAAACTAAACAAAGTTATTAAACAACATCTTAAAATGGGGAAATATGGAGTATAAAGACAGTTACATATTCAATTATTATAATCATAATAATAAATTGGATAGTCCGCTTCCAATAATATTTTCATTCTTAAGCCATAAAACTGTGAATCTGCTGATGGGTTCTATCCACAGGGCTATATAGGTGTATATATTATTATCACTGTATAGGTGTTTATTGATCAAACTGCAGAGCTCTGCAACAGAGATGGTGAAAAAAAACCTTGCAACATGAATAAAAAGAAAATTCAATTTAAAGTCACGCTAAGGGAAGGTTCGGATAAAATCCATTATGGTTTAGCATCAAAAGTATGATTTTAAGCTCAAGTAAAAAAAAAAGCCATTTGCCACAGTGTCAAATTTGTGTGCTAAAGAAATATCTCTGGTAAATCTTCACTGAGCATAAGATTATTCTATCTCAATTCGTCTATGTAAATGGAAAACAAACAGCCTGAAGCAGTGGTGGTATAACAACAGTTATGCTCAACAGAGGAAGCATCTGTGACTGACTGCTAATAATATGACAAATAATACTTTAAATATTGCGTTATCTTGTTGATAGTCTCAGCTCCAGCTACATTGACAATGCATTCTGAAATTATTGTCAGTGTTTTCAACATGTTTATTTTCTTTATTCATGGTTTCAACACAACTGCTGTTAAGAGTGCTAAAGATTCCTTTAAAGTTGCCTCCAAGAGACAAAACAGAATAAAATTCAATACTTTATTTTATTGCTGACTTATTAAAACCTTCACTTCATCTTTGTTGGTGTCTCAATCTCCTTGAGAGAACGCCATTAAATTAATCCAGTATTACTTTCATTGGTTCACTGCCCAATAATGAAGATGTTGGTAATAATTATTCACATCTCAGTGATTCTATTAGATTGCAAGTTGTGTGTCCATGTGCAAATGTGTCAGCAGCAAAACAGCACAGCTCCCCTCCAACACACACACGCTGCAGTTTGAATGTTCATTCTCCTCTGTCGGTTATATGACTTTGCTCTCCTTCTCTTTCTAAACTCTTACTTAAAATGCAGTTTTTTTTTGTTTATCCTAACAAGCAATACACAGCAAGAAAGGCATTTAGTGTGACTATTTCTTAAAAGAAGCTACTGTTAAAGGGACATTGTGTAACTATTTCTTTTTACCACCTTAAATTGATGTCGGCATTTACATATGTCTTATTATTGGTGTGTCATTACATCCACTAATGATCTTATACATTTATAAAAGCAAAGAATTCTACCTTTGTTTATTCATAAGGCTGGTCAATTCTTAGCAAAGTGCCATGAAATTCTAGCCTGGGTGCCATTCCGAACTTAGTCCCGCCCACAAAGTTTGAGGTCGGGAAGTTCGGTCTGGCTCTGCTCCATAGTAGCGCGAGTATGATCGCCCACCCTCTGGCGATCCAATCAAATTGTCAGGGCGGGCTTTATACGATGATGGACAGATGATCAACAGTACCGTAATCACCATCTTCACTTAATGCTTTCACTACCTGCCTGGAGGAGATAAGGAAGTGGATGACTCAGAATTTCCTTCAGTTGAACTGCTCCAAAACTGAGGCCATGCTGATCGGAACACCTCACCAGGTTCAATCTTCAACTATGACGACTGTTTCCTTTTCTGGACAAGACATCCCATTTTCCACCATAGTTACAAATCTTGGAGTTAGAATGGATTCTCAATTTACTTTTGAAAATCACATTAAGCATCTGTCTAAAATCTGTTTCCTTCATCTTCGTAATATCTCCAAAATTCGTCCGTTCCTTTCTTTTTCTGATGCTGAGACTCTCGTTCATGCATTTGTCTCCTCCAGGTTAGACTACTGCAACTCTCTGTTTGTTGGAATCCATAAAAAACATCTTCAGAAGCTCCAATACATTCAAAACAGCGCAGCCAGGATTCTCTTGAGGGCCCGCAAATTTGCCCATATTACACCTATTCTGCATGACCTTCACTGGCTTCCCATCACCTGCAGAGTTCAATACAAAATCGCGCTCATCACCCATCAGTGTTTAAACGGATCCTCACCGGATTATCTAAAGGACCTTCTCACTCCACATTCATCCACCAGATCTCTTCGATCACAAGACTGCAACTTCCTTCACCTTCCTCGCTCCAGATAAAGGTCCATGGGAGATCGGGCCTTCGCTGTCGCTGCCCCCCGTCTCTGGAACTCTCTCCCAGATCATCTGAGAGCTCCACAACCATTGAATGATTTTAAAAGAGGCTTGAAGACTTTTTTATTTAAGCAAGCCTATTCTGCCTCCACATGATTTTTATGTTGTTTATTTTTATCTTTGATTTTATTGACCACATGATTTTTATGTTGTTTATTTTTATCTTTGATTTTATTGACCACATGATTTTTATGGTTGATTTTTATCTTTGATTTTATTTGCACTGTGTAGCACTTTGAGATTTTTCTTAATGAAAAGTGCGTTACAAAATTGGATTTATTATTATTATTATTATAATCAACCACGTGACCAAAGCGCGCTTGGGTGACAACAATAATGGCTGCCGCTGGAGAGTTTGGGTGAGTAGATTCTGCTATTAGGTCTGTTCTAGAAGATATCAACAGCAAATTAATTTTAAAAGAGGAACAGAGAAACGCGATCAAGTCTTCTTATTATAGGCGTGCAACTGCACGCTTTGATTTTTGTGGACAACAACTATGCCTCGCTTAACATACGTCAGGCACTCCGTTGCTCTTATTGATTGTAGGTCTATCCAATTGAGTGCAGAGGCATTTTTTTTCCTGGTTCGTTTGAAACACGCCCCATAATCACAGCTCTATGGAGCAGTATCAGACTCATATTCTGACTAGAATTGAGTCGGACTACGTCAGGCTAATGAAATTCTACCATCTTCACAAAAGCAGCTGCTGAAACAATGTAAACATTCGTTTCCCTGCCATGTCTGTGTTGTTACGCTTTTTCCTTTAATTTATTATTTTAATTTATTATACAATTTGCAGTATTTAGGAAATCACAAACCTATTCACCTTAGTTAAAACTCAAGAAAAGTATGGGGATGACATGGTTACACTTGAGTTGTGGAGGGTTTGTGACACACAGCATCAATCATTGCTGCAATATATGCTTGAGTTAGTGACGCTCTGGGTTCAAGTGTTCGTTCTATTTAAATAGCACTATTTAACCGGTAAATAACAGTTATTCTTACACAATATCCCTCAAACCGAGTGAAGACAAGTTAACCTGGCAGTAGCCAGACTGATATGTGTAGAACTGAGTTGAGTTCTACATTTTCAATCTGGGATGGCTTGTGTTCATTCTGTCCATGAAAAGGAGGGTCGTTAAGTACAATACTTCGAGCTGATTGGGTGACATGCCAGCTAGTACCTGCCTTTCATAATACGCTTTAATCCAATCGTAGCAGCGAACTGTGACGTTTCGTAAGCTGATAAATCAAAATATTTCCAAATCCTGTTGGAAGAAAAGCACAGACATCTTTTCCATCTACAAATGCACAAAATGTTTCTCTTTGCTCCTTTTTTAACGAGAAACTGTTGCTTTTTTTTTAGCTAAAAACTGAGTCAATTGCGGTATTACAGCGGAGTCCTCCACAGTAGCAATATTTGTTATGCCCAAACAAGGCCCTTCTGACCCTATCCTACATGTCCCACCTCACTAAACACTGCGGGCATGTCATTGGTCCGACTCGCTGGTTGTTACAAGACGGACGTATTAGCGAGAGTCTTTCAAGATGGATTTGTTCTGAGACTGAAATCGATCTCAACAGATCTCGTGACAATTCAGCTTGCAGCGCAGGACAAGACAAGCTGTATTATCAAGAATCTTTATTGTCTACCATAATTACTGTAATAACCTTTATTCTCAACACCCTAGTCAGACTGCAAATACAAGAAGGACACATAGTTAAAGAAAACTAAGCATATTTAGAGGGCATACTTAAAAATATAAAACACCCTCAGGAGAGAAAAACGAAACAAATAATCTATTATCACCCTTAACAATTCAAAGAACATTTAGAAAATTCGTAGAAGGCATTATCATCCTTGGAATGAAAATATCTACTTTGAAATGTAGCTTGGAGTATTACCATAAAACACTGCTTGTGCTGAAACAAGTCTATAAAATAGGCTGGTGATCTGTTTGACAGCCAACAGAGGTGTTTTTGTGTGTGTGTTATAATGTTTCTGTGTGTAAAGTAAACCTGAGATGGATTATGGTGTATGAGGGATTATTGCCTTCACTGCTTCAGGAAGAAAGCTGTTATTAGATCTAATTGTTTCAGATTAAATGTTCCTTTATCATTTTACCGAAGGAAGTGGGACAACCAGTGTCCACTAACTGAGAAACTTTATCTGGGACTTTTTGTACTTGTAGTAGCTTGGGCTAAAATCTGCCTACCTGGATTAAAATATAAATTGGTCAAAGTAGATTCCATTATTATATTTTTTTCTTTCATGAATCGTAACTTGCCATTGGCCCTGCTGGTCCAACGTCGCCTCTTTCTCCCTTTTCTCCCCGAATACCCTGAAAAGGAAACATTGTAAATAATTCAATGGGTGTGGTTTTAAATCAAACAACAACAATTGATAAGAATAGATCAATAGAATAAATTAAATTGCATCAGTAACTTTACTTTGTTTCTTGGTCACACAGCATCTTATCACTGCCCCAGAGTAGCTTTCAGAATTTGCTGCAGATTAGGATTTCTTACCGGATATTCAAACGCAAAACTTTTCACTGGAAAATAATTACAATTTTATCCTTTTTTTTAAATCAAATCTTGGGGTTCTCGAATTTCCTATTTTGAGAGCCACTACACAATACATCAAACTGTCAACATATTTAGAAAAAAAGGTTGATTTGTTTGGCAAATGTAAGGATAAAAGTATAAAATCAACAGGTTTAAATGTCTAATTTCAATGTTAGATGAAAAAATAGTAAACTCCTGAACTTTTCTAAGGAGAATGACAAATGTTTCTCACTCTGATCTGAGAGCCTAAAGGACTGGCTACACGTTGGCACATGAGCGATGCTGCATTTTATTGGTCATTTTAGTACCATATATGGATGACCGTCGACCACACTGTCAGAGTTCAGTTGAAGACAGAGTATGAAATTAGTAGAGTTTCTCCACACGTTTCTCACATATTATCCAAAAATAAGGGGTAAATGGCTTTTACACTCATTAAAATCCAACTGGGGAGAACCCTGGTTTTGGGAGAAATCAAGACAAAATGTTAACCATAGGTGAAACCCTCCTCCTTCTCGTTATATTCATCTGCTACCATCTCCTCAATCTCCTACTGTATCTCATCTTATCTCTGCAGACCATATCCAAACTATCACTCTACTTAGAACCTAAACTGTCAGGAAATACCCACAAACACCAATGGCTGTCAAAGTAAGTTTAAGAATCAGAACCTCCTCCCAAAGTAGCCATGTGGTAGAGCTGGGTAGTGTGGTCATCATTTTCAGCTCCTTCCCAAAAAGACTTTTGACTTTTAGCAACACTTTATCTACACAATTAAAACAATTTACGTAAAACAAGTGTCAGTTAAAAATTACTATTGAGATAAAAACAAGTGTCAGTTAAAATCATTAATTAGGAGCTTCTTAAAATGTAGATCTCCATCATCTGACACAGAACATAAAATATTTTGAAAACCCCACAACTGAATAAAATCCTCCATGTTTGTGTGGCTCTGGTTAAGTGAAACTGAAGCCTTATTCTGGCTTTAACGTTGCACTTCCAAAGAGCTGATGCATCAAGGTTTAGGTACTACCTAGGTACTACCTGCAGTCTGTCTCTATGGGACAGGTAAATGGCCATCTTTGCTTCGCTGTTTAAAAAATTTAAAAGTCGGGCTTTTGGCCTATTCCTTCTGCTTTGACAAAACCCCCTATAAAAACAGCATTTGTAAAAACTATCCCAAAAAGGCTAAAAACACAAATTAAAAGGTTAAAAATGGTATTTAGCCATGAGCATTCCGAAAAAACGTGGAACATGTTTTCAGCAAAAAAAAAGAAAGCCTCGATACATGCTTTGCAGGAAGGCCCCCTCCATAATTTGACACATAGCCTACTAGTGTTGACCCTCGCCTGCTGTTGGATTCCTCTTTACCTGCCAGATTTGTGTTTGGGACCCAACTCTAAATCCTGAGAGCAATTAATTTGACCTCTGGAATCCCCCTGACTGGTTGGTCCATTCAGACTAAAACAAGATCCAGTTATTGGGCCATCATACAGCCTTTTAATATCTCTATTCTAAGCTACCAGTGTTCTGACTTCTGAATAAAGACTTCACTACATATTGAGTCTGAGTTCCGACTTGGTATATTGGGTCCAAAAGAATATCCTTGCCTGTAAAAGGTGCTTTAAAAATAACTATAAGTAGCCCCCGGGTGATTCAAAATTACCCCAGCAATATGCAGTTTTGGTTCCTTAATATCTAAACGTGCATATTAACATGACGACCAAAATGTTTAAAGTACGCTGTCCATTCTAAATAAAGAATCATACTTTGAAGTGCATGAACACACAAACACAGGCTTACTGGGGGTCCCTGAATGGAGAGTCCACTGGGTCCCTGAGGGCCAGGCGGTCCTGGAGGTCCAGATGGACCGATTTCTCCTGTAGGCCCCTGTGGTCCCTATGAAAAACAGAAAAGAAGAACAATGCTAAAATCACATAAACTAAAGCTAAACATGTTTTTGCTAGAGTAGTTTTTAGCAGGTGACTATAATGCTCATAGACTAAAAGAATTGGACATTTGTCTCATACTTAATACCCTCAGCTCAGATGAAACCTGTACAGAGGATTTGAGTGATTTTATGTTTTGGCTGCCAGGAATTAATGTTTTAAATCTTCTCACTGTGATAATGAACAACACTATTCATCCACACAGATAAGATACACAAAAGTCCCCTTTGCCCCAGAAATTTTCATATAGTGTTTTTTTTAAGCCTCTAGATCCAGCAAATGTAAAATGAACTTCAATATTAGAAATCAGTCCAAGCTCTCCAATCTAAAGCAAATGGTGTATATGCTACTTTTTTAAACAAGCCTTTATAAAAGAGTTTTTTTTTTTTTTTTTTTTGAGGGGTTGCACCTACTCCACAGAATGTGAAACAGGTGACAAGGATTAACATACACCATCTGACCAAGTCCCATCTAGATATTAGGGTTTTCTTTGCTGGCTGTCTCTACAGTGGGATCTAAAGAAGGAATTTAATTTGGACACTTCATCCATCCATAGTCTGGTTTTTACTGCAGTTGGAGATTCATTTTATTACAGTTTTAAAAGTGCAGTCAGCTTTGCTGCAACAGCAGCCAGAACAGAAAGGCTGATTTGTGGTTCTCGTAGGTGTCAGTGCAGTGGCAGCAGTAACCAAAGCAATCCATGGGAGTTCTCGGTTCATGTGTTTCTTATCCATAAAAAAAATCCCACAACACTATGAAAGCAAAGATTTGATGTAGAAAAATGAAGGGGGAACAAAAACCGAGGCATAAAATGTTAGGTGAGGTTTAACTGTGTAATCCTCTGAATGTAGCAACAATTTTTCTTTAGGATCAAATTGTTTATAGCAGAAACTGTTAAGAGCAAGAGAGAGTGAGGCTTTGGGCAGATAATAGAAAGGTTGCATCAATACCACTAGAAATACCAGCAATATTAACTGGTAAGATGCTTAGTACAATTCAAACTTCTAAGTTTATTATTACTTTGCTTTTGGTCCATGGACATTAAGGGAAAAAAAATAATTACAGCAGCTAACTCCTCCCATGTTCATGATAATATGCTATTTTTCACCTAACATTAATATTTAATCACTGCCCACCAAGAGAAAACTTTAAGTATTGTTCTCTGTGCTGTTTTAATGTCAGAAGTTTCACCATCAGCAGGGAAAAGCTTTGAAAAGTATTGGAATCTGCCTTTGAAACATCTGATTGTTACATCTCACATCTTTAGATATCAAGCTCTTTTGATTCTAAGCACGACATTTTGTGAGAAAAGCAAAGGTACGCTCATAAAAAGACTGTTGCTCTCCTATTACCTTTCACTGAGAGAAAATGTGCTAACTGACCTGAGTTACCTGGATTTTGTCTGACCTGACCAGATCCAAAGAAAACCTCTCCTGGTTTAGATTTCAGTTTTTCTAAGAGGTTTGGTTCATATTTTACCCCTTGAGAATTTGACTCATGACCTAAATCATTAAACGGACAAGTTCTGGAAGATCTGGAAACCTTTAAACTCTTACCTACAAAAATGACAAGTTTCCATCGAAGAATAGAGCCAACTATCCATTCACTATATATCATTTTATTTAGTTTTGAATATGTCATTCATTTATTTGTCTGCTGTCTATATATATTGCTTTTTTGTCCTTTTGTTGTTTTGTACATTTTAATTATTTTTTATCATTATTATTGAATCTGTGATTAATTTAGTCTTCTACTCCTTGTACTTAAAAAAATGTAAACTAATAGAAAAGGGTATGAAAAAGTGTTTCTTCAAAGTTCAGCATTTAATTTGAAACTATAAGACTCAATGCAGTGGATAAATTTTATTACAAACTGGGATTAATGGCATAAGATTCTGACAGTATAATACTCTATTTGAATAATATCTAAGTGAATTGGATTGACTCAATTAAAAAAGTTTCCTGGATTGGAATCAAAATGTCTTCAAACTTGAAGAGCCCAGTGGTTTGTGTTTTTTTGTATGGCTTTTTCGGAATGATTGTGACCTGGATGGCTTAGAATCTTCACTATCAACTTGGATTGATTTCCGTTGAATCTGGACTTTTTATAGATTTGATCAAAATTGGACTTGTCAGTCTTGTGAAGTTGTTTGAGGTATCACTGGTTGTGAACGGAATTGAAATACAAATCTACCTTTTTGTAATTCTGTCTTGGTTGCTTTAAAAGAAACCTTTTGTGTTTTCCAAAAAAAAAAAAGATAGGATGTATTATAAGCTGATAATTTTAGAGAAAAAACGTGTTTAGGACTTTAAGTCCACATTACTAACCGTCACTCCTGGTTCCCCTCTGTCTCCTCTGGCTCCCCTTATGCCAGGTCCACCCTGAAACCCAGGATAAAACAAATGGGTTTAAATGGAAAACAGCACAATATTTGAATGCCATAAAATCTATAAATATTAACCGTCAAAGACATTAAAAAAACTGATTTGTCATTTCCGTGTTTAAACAAATTGGCAATTATAAAAACAACCAGCTTATAACAATAACATAAAAAGAAAACACATAGCAATGCCTTTCTTATAAACAGGGGGAGAATAGCAAATGTGAATGATGGGATATTTTGATCCATTGTCTAATAGGCTATGGTTATTTTAATGATATTGGCTGTTTTTATATTTAAAAAAATTATCTCTCTAAATGAAATATGTTGAATATACATGCAAAAAAAAAAAAAAAAAAAAAACCTAAAAAAAGATGGCGCATGTACTTTTGTTAAAAAGATCATCTATGAAAGTACTGCCAAACAGGGAGGATGGATTTTACCCAATAATGTATTTCGTTGGAAACATGGTTTGTCCTAGACTTAATAAACAATTTCGGTCCAAGTTTTAAGAGGAGTCAACCAACAGTAGAGAAAATTTAGCATTGTAAACTTTATTCATACCCCTAACCAATAAGAAAACACACTCATCCAATGAAGTGAAAACAGGTGTTGTTTGTGACCATAACCTTTATAATGTAATGTAAGTTGAAGGACTGACAGAGTCTTTGGAATAATTGCTTGACAGCTAGATAACTGTTTATAATGTAGGTTATTCTGGTGACACAGATTTAGAGCGACACAGGCTGGATTATTTCTGTGCACCTCGGAGGATCAAGGTCAATTAAAAGCTGAGTAGAGATAAAGTCCAACTGAATGCTAGAAGAATCTTTAATTTCTGAATTACAGCTTGATTTGACTTTGTATGAATAAAAGGCAGATGTTACCTTTTTGAATAAAAGGCAGATGTTACCTTTTTATCTTAGGTGGGCTTTGTGCTACGTTTTAAGACCATTTGCTTTTTATTTTAAATCATGCAATACATATATCTATTTGTAAGCTAAATGCCAAACTCTATTAAAAGTTAACAAATTTTGGTATGTGCAATTTAAGGTTGGAATAAAAGTTGTTTTTAAACATCAAACATATAAAAAAATATATATAAAGGCTATCAAGCCATGTCCTTTGGGCATTGGATCTTACTAAAGTACTTTGTAACTTAGAAATTATTAAGCTATTTTTTAGTTTTGCACTAATATTCTATCACTGAGGTCTAGCATCAGTCCATTTTCTAAAGCTTCTCCTTCTGTGTTTCCTTACTAAGACAAAAAAGATGATATCCTGATTTAATTTGAACAACAATTCCTTGAAAAATGTCAGCTTCTCAACTTTAAACTTCAGGAAGGAAGACATTTATCTATAAATAGTTTTTATTTATTTAGTTAAAAAATACTTGAAAGAAAATATAAGAATTTGATTGACAAAAGTAAATATTACATATGAGGGGCCGTACAAGCCATAAATCATATGCCACTCTCATGTACGAGTAAATCTCTCATACACATATATTTTATCTCTCACATAGATATATTGTATCTCTCGCACACATATCCTCTTACATGCATAAACTCTTCTCTCATTTCCCTATATTCTCCTCTCACATCTTTATGTTTTTCTCTTACATGCATGCATTCTCCTCTCACCTTCACACACATACATTATATGCTCACGTATAAACTCTTTCACATTTATACATTTTTCTCTCTGATACGTATTTACAGTTCTTTAAATTAAATACTTTATGCATTTAGTGAGCTTGGTCCTGTTTTCTCATCTTTTTTTTTCTATAATTTTGGGGTGAGGAGTATGGTGGACCAATCCTGCCAAAATAAAAGATAAATAAATAAATGCCTCATAAATATAATCCATTTCAAAATAATTGCTTGAAATTTAAATAAGTCAGCAATGAAATGCAACAACCTGAGAAAATAAATAATATATAACTTTTAGTTTAACTATTCTTTTTAAATTTCTGCACTTTTATTCCTATTGTATTATTTAAACCATGACAGATTAAGTTTTCTTTTTACTGGAAAGCTGTATTTCTACTTATTTATTACAAGTACATTTATTGCTGTTTTTTTTCCTAGTCCTTTTATTTCTTTCTTATTTTTTGACCACCCAAATAAATTTAAAACATGCTTTCCCCCATTATTTGATTTAATAATGATTTTAGTTTGCTTTTTAATTTAACAGCTTTTCTCATCTAACATATCCCTGTAGTATTTTCTCAGCGTTTTTCCATGTCCTGTATTTCCTCCAAAGTAAAAACAGAGGGGTGGCTTTGGAACAGCAACAATGCTGCAGCCTTTCTCCTATTAGCCGTGGTCAGGAGCTGCAGGTGGCTGTCTGCCCAGATAAAGCTAGTAGCAATGGCTAACTTCAATCATTTTCTTGCTGATGAACTTCTAAGTTTTACAGATTTGGCAAAGTAGAATGTATCCATGCAAATGGAGAATACATGTATGTCTATACGTGTAGAAATGTATGTGAAAGGACAATGTGAGAGATAAAATATATGTCAATGAGAGTGGCAGTATGATTTATGGCTTGTATAGTCGATCCATCCATCCATCCATCCATCCATCCATCCATCCATCCATCCATCCATCCATCCATCCATCCATCCATCCATCCATCCATCCATCCATCCATCCATCCATCCATCCATCCATCCATCCATCCATCCATCCATCAGCAGCGTCGGTGAATTATTGTTTGAAAAAAAAGCAGCATTTTCCAAACGTTAAAATAATATACAATAATTTACTCCAGCGGGAGTAAAACAGATAATTGTACTTGAATCTGTATTTAGACCCAAAGTAATGAAAGCAAAACACATCTCTATGAGTTTCTGAGTAAATTGATGCCAAAGACAAATTTACATTTTGGATGTGAGCCAGCATGGGGACTTCCAATTTCTAACAAAACTGAGAAAGCAGGTTGGGCGCATCTTCTTTCCCAAACACTAGATTGATTGTTGAAATAATGTTAAATATTGAACTGTGTCTGGGTCCAATCAGACAGCAAAGAGGCAATCAATAGAATGCGAAGTAAAGATAACTGAAAAGTTCTGCTGCTGTAATCAAGAAAACAAATCCATCATTTCAAAAAGGAAAACATCAGAAAAAGGAAGCAAAGATTGTTAGACATTAATAACCTGAATCCTTCTGTGCAAATGAAAACCTGTTCCGAGGAATTGTTTTTTTTTTAACAAAAGAATATACCGGTACTTTTTTTTATGATGGCTATTTTCTATACTTCTATCATCACTTTTTATTGTATATTTAGATCATGAACCAAGGTAACATACCTCTAAGTTGTAGTTTAAGGTTTTTAGTCTGTTCAGACTGTCCAAGTTTTGGCACTACTGTTGGATACCAGCTCAAAGTTCAACTGCTTGGCCACGCTCTTCTAGATTAAGCCACTGCAGCAGCTACCACTAAATCCCAGGGGAAGTTTTTTTCCCCCTACTATCAATGCATCCATTCTTGATATGAGGGATTGCATAGAGGTCGACAACACCAAGCAAGCAACTGTCTAGCTCTGTCTCCAGCACTCTTCCCTGTCTGTCCGGCCGGCTGAGCTCTTTTGCAATCTTAAACTGTATCCTGCTGAGGGTGAAGTGTGAAATAGGACCCCCCCCTCTTACCTGGTGTGATCCTTTTCCCTTTTTTTGTTCACTAATGCATGGGCAGCACGTTTGAAAACACCAAGGCCTTCGGGCACCACATCCCCTATGTCTTGTGTCTGTGTTATGTCTTTTCTTAGATGGGCTGAACCAAAACTCAATCTTATCAGACTAGAGTACAAACCTCACGCTGGGTGGCAAATGAAGCTATTCTATTCCCATTCTGCCGTTACATGTTCCTTAAGGTGGAGGGAATTCTGCAAAAATCAATTATTCTGGATTGCCCCATAGGCAGAAAACTTTTGAACCAATTTGCCTCTACGAAATGATTGAATTGACTATGTAAAGTGCCTTGATATCAAATGTCATGTATTATTGCTACATAAAAAACTGGTTGGATTTTGATTTGTTGAATTGTACTGGAAACTGTAATTTACTCCCATTCGACAACATACACTACCGTTCAAAAGTTTGGGGTCACATTGAAATGTCCTTATTTTTGAAGGAAAAGCACTGTACTTTTCAATGAAGATAACTTTAAACTAGTCTTAACTTTAAAGAAATAAACTCTATACATTGCTAATGTGGTAAATGACTATTCTAGCTGCAAATGTCTGGTTTTTGGTGCAATATCTACATAGGTGTATAGAGGCCCATTTCCAGCAACTATCATTCCAATGTTCTAATGGTACAATGTGTTTGCTCATTGGCTCAGAAGGCTAATTGATGATTAGAAAACCCTTGTGCAATCATGTTCACACATCTGAAAACAGTTAAGCTCATTACAGAAGCTACAAAACTGACTTTCCTTTAAGCAGATTGAGTTTCTGGAGCATCACATTTGTGTGGTCAATTAAATGCTCAAAATGTCCAGAAAAAGAGAACTTTCATCTGAAACTCGACAGTCTATTCTTGTTCTTAGAAATGAAGGCTATTCTATGCGAGAAATTGCTAGGAAATTGAAGATTTCCTACAACGGTGTGTACTACTCCCTTCAGAGGACAGCACAAACAGGCTCTAACCAGAGTAGAAATAGAAGTGGGAGGCCGCGTTGCACAACTGAGCAAGAAGATAAGTACATTAGAGTCTCTAGTTTTAGAAACAGACACCTCATAGGTCCCCAACTGGTATCTTCATTAAATAGTACCCGCAAAACACCAGTGCCAACATCTAGAGTGAAGAGGCGGCTGCAGGATCCTGGGCTTCAGGGCAGAGTGGCAAAGAAAAAGCCATATCTGAGACTGGCCAATAAAAGAAAAAGATTAAGATGGGCAAAATAACACAGACATTGGACAGAGGAAGACTGGAAAAAAGTTTTGTGGATGGATGAATCCAAGTTTGAGGTGTTTGCATCACAAAGAAGAACATTTATGAGATGCAGAACAAATGAAAAGATGCTGGAAGAATGCCTGACGCCATCTGTTAAGCATGGTGGAGGTAATGTGATGGTCTGGGGTTGCTTTGGTGCTGGTAAGGTGGGAGATTTGTACAGGGTAAAAGGGATTCTGAATAAGGAAGGCTATCAAGCCATTTTGCAACGCCAGGCCATACCCAGTGGACAGTGCTTGATTGGAGCCAATTTCATCCTACAAGAGGACAATGACCCTAAACACACCTCCAAATTGTGCAAGAACTATTAGAGGTGAAGCAGGCAGCTGGTATTCTATCGGTAATGGAGTGGCCAGCGCAGTCACCAGATCTGAACCCCATTGAGCTGTTGTGGGAGCAGCTTGACCATATGGTACGCTAGAAGTGCCCATCCAACCAATCCAACTTGAGGGAGCTGCTTATGGAAGCATGGGGTGAAATTTCTCCAGATTACCTCAACAAATTAACAGCTAGAATGCCAAAAGGTCTGCAATGCTGTAATTGCTGCAAATTCTTTGACGAAAGCAAAGTTTGATGTAACAAAAATCTTATTTCAAATACAAATCATTATTTCTGACCTTGTCAATGTCCTCACTCTATTTTCTATTCATTTCACAACGTATGTTGGTGAATAAGTGTGACTTTTCAGGAAAACACAAAATTGTTTGGGTGACCCAAAACTTTTGAACGGTAGTGTACCTCTGCCTGCGGGCAACTTTTTAAAAATGCAAAGAAAGGAATTAATGTGGGAGTTGATAGTGTTGCCAAATTATTGCTATATATGAAAAATGTTTAGACCCCCTCAGCTCTAAATCTATAAACTTTAAATAAGATGATTAATGTAGCCCAGTCTGATAACCTAGTATGGATTACACCTACAGTGAGAAATGTTGAAAAGATTCATGTTTAATTTTAAACTAGCAACTATTTTCACTCTGATCTAAATAAAAGCTGAGCAGCATCACACATGTACATTCATTCAGTCAAGACGTTTTGTCATTTCTGCTGGTTATATGCATTTTTTCATAGGCCATCAAGCAAAAATGTGTCTGATATAAGCCTAGGGAGGTTCCACTTGTTGTAGGGATGTGAAAGTTTCTTTCTGATTCCTCTCTTCTCCATGGTTCATCCTTATCTCAACAGGCTGCATGATTTATTTCCTCTATAGATTCCTCTTCAGCTACTATCTGTGGAATGCAGGAAGATTTTTGGCTGCAGGGAGATCCACTATTCATTATATAAACAGTGCTATTTAAATAAAAAGAAGTTTTTCAGACCTTTACATTCTCTGCAGATATCTCAAGACACCTATGCTGGAAATACGTTCCTAATAGATAACTCTAACTACACATTTCGAGGTAATAGGTACCACTTTAAGCTGTTTTAAAAAGTCTATAAAACATTATGCATGAAATATCCCCACTTTGTTCATATTTAGAGTCCTCTGTGCAGCTTTCTCTGCTTGAGAAGTGGCTCACAGAAACAGAGTAAAAAAAAAAAAAAAAAGATTTGCACAACCAGCCACAAGTAAAACAGCATTAAGCAGAATTCAGTACCCCCCTTATTAGTTATACATGCTAATAACTTGTGACGCTCTACCCAGGAGGGTCATAACCAAATTGGCGGGTCCTTTCAACTTTGTGTTCAGTGACAGATCTTTCCATTAACTGTTACGGTTGTGCTTGAACGTTTACATAGCCTTCCATTAAAGAAACTTTTTGTGTTTAGAATTTTTTTTTAAAACAAAAATTCAAAATCAATATTTTATTTACTGAATTATCATTTAGCAACATTTTTAATTATATAACTTTTTAAAGTTTTACTAGTGAGATTTTATAATTTTCTTTAATGGGAGGGTATGTAAACTTTCAAGCACAACTACGTATATCCAATGAACGCTTGTAGATCTCAGAAAATGAGAATTATATAAAAGCAGCTTTAACTGCGTGCTACTCACTGAAATACAAATCTTTATGTGAAGAGTTAAATCTAAAAGAGATCAATGTAAACTCTATTAGGTATTGCGAAACCACCTTTGGTGGCTCTGGAAACCAATGTGCTCCACTTGTCCCTGGAACTTTGCTGCCGTTCATTACAATTTGAAGGCATTCGTTTATCAAACTGAGCCACCAACACGCTGTCTGTTGTGGTTCATGCTGTGTTTGTTATCAATGGCCCTATCAACATATGTAAGGCCAAGCCTCAGCTGCCTGTCAGATGGCGTCACATTTGACAATTGGTCTAAAGGTTTCAGGACCTGTGGCTCTAAAACATCTTCTAACATCAACCTCCTACCACTGTGTTTAACTGTTACCATAGAGATATTTGTGCTGATTTAATGTGTTTTTATTAAACAAGGTTCTGTGATTGATCTTTACATAGCTTGTATTGTGGTATTTAGGTGTTAATAATGACCAGGACAGCAGAAACGTAGTTACACCACAGATAATAGTGAATTCACAACTGTGTGGAGTGGGGTAGAGAAAACAATAGACTTGTGTTCCTACAGGGGGTCCAGAAGGTCCTGGAGGTCCTTTGCTCTCTTGGGAACAGGTACAGGCATGAGGCAGAGGAGGACACTGCTCTTCCACTCTCTGAAAACACATATGAACAAAGAGCAAAGATTGAGGGCTTATATTATATAATAAGATAGGAAATGCCTTAACCTTGGCAAAAACAACCCAAAAACAATAAAAGCAATATACACTTCACTGACCAGATAATCTTGGTATTACATAACTATATATGTACAGTGCAGTGTTTATTAACACCCCTAGCCATAGATACAACTGAATAAAAGAGGAGTAAACAAAAGGTCAAGCAAAGTTAATAATTACAATCGTTAGAGCGGATGTTCAGTTCGATTTTCCCTTATCAGTAACTGGCAAGATGGAAACTCAAAAGTCTAACATTATGTGATATCGAATCCTTTTCAGGCTATAGGACTAAAAACAAACCCAGTATGGATGTCATTATGGAAGCAGATTCAGAGAAGTGCTTTGTTTTAAAAGGAAAATAATTTCTAACGAAAAATTTCTAAGGAAATATGTTTGGAAATATCGGGAATCCATTCAGACAGTGAGAAATTAAGAATGAAGCGGATAACAGGAAGGCTGAATGGAGTGCAGTAATGTTGTTCTTCGATTTAGTTTTATTCTCTTGAACATTTGGCGTTTAAATTGTCTGTTCATTTGAAATGTTTGCTGCCTGTTGGAAATGTCACAGTTAAGCTGAGGTCTATAAATGGAGAATACTATTTTAGCTTTGCTAAAGATCAGTAAAATAACAGGTTCCATTATTATTTTGCCTTATTTTTAAAAGAGTAAATCTCTGGAATACATATGGCAAATTTTATAACACAAGTATTTTTTCTAATACTTATAACACACACAAAAAAATAACCTTTTAATTGCTTCAATCATGTTTAGTCCTAATGTAGTTTTCAAAGAGGGAGATTCTAAATTAACTTAAATCATAATGGGCAGATCAAAGCTACACCAATTTTTAGTTATTCAAAAAATATACTTCAGTGTTTGTGTACGAAGGATAAGTTAGTATTTGTGGTTCTCAGGTAAGTAATACTGGATTAAATCAAAAAATGTTTGTTTGATTGTAACAGCTGTCATCACAAGGACTTTCTGTGTCTGTTATAAACAGAAAATCCACTGTTTTGCGCAAGAGGAAGAAAAAAATAAACATTTCAATAATATGTCTGTGAGCCTTGGGTTAGTTTCTTACCAAAGCTGGCAGCTCACAGCATTTATCTCTGCTGGCCCAGGACGTGCTGCAGATGATATCAAACATCTGCAACTGAAACTGCGGAAACACAGACACATCCAACCACTTCTATTATTTTACTACAAAAAAAAAAAAAAAAACACATTTTAAAATACCATAATACTACAGGTGGGACATGGAGTAAAAGCTTGGTTGTTAGACATGGATTTAATTTATTTAATTGCATATAAACCTCCTTTAGCTTACAATAAACATTTTTGAACAGAATAAATAATTGGAAGATACACTCTTCCCATTCAAGACATCAAGCAGATGAGACTCAGTTTGGTAGTGTTTTAGTAAAAACATCAGTTTAGAATATAAAAAAGGTTGTTTTTTTTAAAAAGAAGTAATAAAAGTAACAAATGGTGTGGGAACTCCCACCTAGGACAAACCCGACTTCAACATTTTTTTTCTTAAATGTAATTATATCCTACATTAGACATGGCAGGCCTCCCTGCACGACTACAGACTCTCTTCCCTTGTCTTATTTCAGCATCCCTTATCTATACTACAAAACATGATCATGTTTAATGGTTAAAATAATAAAGTAAGCTATGCTTAGAGTGCCTAGACATAGTTCAAAAACCATCAAAGATAATATAAGTTAGAAGGAACTTTTATTAGTTTCTGTAGAATTCTGGTTTGGTTGTCTTTTTTTGGTCCATTACTGTAAAACATTACAAAAGCATCCCTTTCCAAAAATATCTGTACCCCACTTTTCTTTTACTTTTCTTACTTTTTTCTGTTGAAAATGTTGTACTTTTTATTGTGTGTTTATAGCTACAGATGGCTAAAAGGAGTACTGCACATCATCCTGAAAATAACATCTCCACACTCTTCTTTGGCACTATGGATACATATTTTGACTTTGCAATCAGTAAATAAAATGAACTCCTAATAACGTATAATACAAAAAAACTGGAAATTACTGTACATACAACATATTTCTCCAGTGCTTTGTCCTATTTCTGTTAGTAGGTGTCAGTAATGGACCCTAAAGTAAGAATTTTGATTTCATTTTATTTAACATATTTCGAGAATAAAGTAGTATATTTATATCTATTAATACTGACTGGAGAAGAGCTGTCCCGTCTGCCTCTGGACCGAACCATTTTCCCAAGGACTTCGACTCCGTCTGTGGTGATATTTCCAGCTGCCCTGATGGATTTCTCTCCCACTGCAGAACAGTCTAACACCACCTTCACCGATGTCTTGCTGACAGTTACATGGAGCTGTGACAGAGCAAGAACAAGATCAGGAGATAATTTTCCAATTCTCAATCATCAAAGGTTAGCTGTGAAAATATCTAAATTCTACTTAAACCTAAATGTGGTGAAGTACAAAATATAAAAACAAAGCATTCATCTAGTGGCCACCTAAATGTGCCTGTAAAAGGAAGTTTAAACTGGACTTTTAATATAAAGTTTACAATATAAATAAGGGTTTCCCAATTTCATAGATTATCATTTAGCAAAATAATACTGGAAATTAACCAATGACTGAAAAATAATTAGATTTTTTTTCCTTTTATTTGTTGGGAAGTTTTAATCAATTGTTCAATTTCCGGGATCTAAAAATCTCTCTTCTAGTAGTTGTAGACATTGGCGAACAATGTCCACAATTTTTTATAGTACTCTATCAAATAATACTTAAAAAAAAATTCTTTAATCAGATTAAATTCTATTCACCTCTTAGTGAATTGCTCTAAATTAGTTTAAAGCTATTTTGACCAAATTAGAAGCTATTAAAATTAAACGTTGGTTTTCAAAGAAAAAAAAATCAATATGAACTGTGATATCATAACACCATTATATTGATTATGGTTTTCAACCATTTCTATTTCTCTATCTGTGTGCAGAGTAGTTTGGTTTAGTTGAGTTTCGCTAATTTAGTGAACAGTTTTTGACCATAAGATGTTTGACTTTGAGTTGTTTTATTTTTGTCAATAAATCAGTTTATTTTGAATTGAAGATTTTGTGAATTTACTCCATACGTGTGTAGAGTTTACTGTGTGACCATGATTTGAGCTCTGATCACATTTCCATTTATTGTCCTAAAAAACAGCCTGTTGGGTGTGTGTTAACAGAATAACATATGACAGTCTGAAAGGTTTTGAAATAGGTAGTTTTATAAGTTACAAAAGTATTAGATGACCAATTTGAATGATACATTTCTCTAAATTTGCCTTAGCATAAAATAGTAACTTTGACAGATTTTGGTTCTCTGTGTCACTAATTTGATGAAATGAGGAAATCTTCATAAATGATTTTGAACAAATGTTATGTCTCCAGTGGCTTTTCTAGATTTCTCCTTTTGATTTAGCAGTAGAACTGTTTAGTTTATATTTACAGATACCTGTAATAAAAAAAAAAAAGGTTACAGCAACACGCTTTCAGGCAAGCATTAAAACCAGCCTTTTTGGACCAGAATAAAGCCGGACTCCTAAACAGGATAATATTCCCAAAGAATGTTTCAGGAAATGAGCTCTATAATCATCCTGACTGTAAAACTCCTTTGTGCCTGTGTTTTATTTTTTTCTTTTAGACAAACAGTCCAAAGGCATTTGCAGGGAACAAACAAATGATGTCCATCCAGGCAGAGATCTGGAAGTTTAAGAGCTAAAACTGCCTACTTAGAGGAAAGTGCTGCCAGATCCATGAACCATCACATCCAGATGGCTATACAGTTAATGAGGAAAGAAACTGGCCTGCTGGTGAAGGACAGTAATAACCTGGACCATTAGCGTATATATGTTTTACCAATACATTTTTCCCCTCATGACCTCTTTGCTTTCGCTCATCTTCAGCAAAACCATATAAGCACTTTGTGTCAGAGGTGCATAAATAACAGAATTTCTACAGATACAATGAAAACAAAGTTCAAATGTTAGAGCCAGAATCTAGTCCTCTAGTGATGTGCGGACAGTTTCTTTTTAAATGACTTTGCATTTTTGACCTTCAGTCTGTATACTTCACTGGTGATCATGTTTGTTACGCCGTTGTGACATAAAACATAATGAAAAATCTCCATGGTGCAGGCATTTAGCTGGTATTTTATGGTATTCACTTAAGGTTAGATGATGGTTAGGGAATGAGTGGAGAGGAGGGAAATATCTATGGTATGTCAGCATTAGTGTGCGTTTGTACATGCCTGCCTTTCTGTGTATCAGCATTCTTCTCCAGGTACCTCAGTTATGACTCTGACCTTTAAGCTAAATGAAGATTATTTTGTTTACACTTCTGAGTCTTATAAAAAAAAAAATCCCCCTGTCAACAGCAGCAGGGACTAAAATCAAATGTTTGCTTCTGTTATCTATAACTATTTCTTTCTCTGGCGGCTGCATCCAAACAGCAGATTTGGGCTCAATAACATAAGGGTGATACGTTAACATATCTCTAAAATGATGCACTTTTCTTCCAGTATTAAATTAAAGAATGGACAATACATCACCTGACACACAACTGTCAATTCAAATGATTAAAAAAGACAATGTTCCAAAGCAAAACACTGATGCACTCTTGAACCCTTTTGATTGAAATTCAGCAATCCCTCTTTCTGAGTTCACACATACTCTCCTTTATAGCGATTCAAATCAATTAGAGATAAAGTTCAAAAGTGCCAGTAGTGTTTTATAGACATCTGGTGATTTTCATCTTTAAGCTAAAACTATAGTATACATAGGTTAGAGTTTAAAATATTTGGCAATTGATTATAAATATTTCTGCCAAAGGACAACAGGAAAGTGACTGATGGTCAGTTTTAACCCAAAACCTTTGGATGTTTGATGAATGCAAAACATATTTATTTGGCATTACTGTGAAATAAAATCTTAATGAAAGAGATTTTTGGAATGTCCTAGTCAAAGCTCATCCCTAAATTAGGGTCACCTGAAGACAGCTGTGAAAGTAAAATGGAAAGTTACAGTTACAGTACACATCATAGGTGCATGTCCACCAAAATCAATGTATATATTTGGTACAGGAGCCTAAAAATCATATATTGTGAGTTTTGGCTTTTTTTTCTTTCCTTTTTTTTATTGTATGCACCTACGATGACAATTTCAGACCTCCCCATGATTTCTGAGCAGGAGAACGTGAAAAATACCCAGGTGTTCAAATACTTATTTTCCTCACTGCATATAAGTGAATACAGTCTTTAATTAGATAAAATGCTCACACAATTTATTGGATTTTGACATATAATGGTCTGAAATTTGATCCCATTCAGTACCAATAATGGACCAGGGCCAGTGATCATAGCTATTCTGAACTATTAAGATCAAAATCATTACACTTTAGTTCAGATCTTTATTGATATAATCTTATTAACAATATTATGAAATAATTTAAAACAACTTATATATATAAAATGTTTATCAGTAGATTTATGTATGCACTGTGTATTTTAACTGCACCTCAAGAGACTGAGGCTTCTGAAAGCTAAAAACTGAATTTCTCCACAATGATCATCTACAGTACACAGAAACAGTTTTAATATGAAGGATTCAATCATTTGGGAAGGAACCAAAATAGCATTGAAACGCCTCTAGAAAGGGTTACTCTGAACCATGTGTGAGGTATAGCGTAGATTAACTACTTTTTCCCCTTTAGTGTCAGACTTTTTACAGCTATATTTCTCTTTAGGCCTAGAACTCACTCATTACTCTTTATTTGTCTGTTCCCTGCTTTCACCAATTTCTATTTTCTATCTCCCTCCTGAGTTTGCCAGCCTGTCTGTGGCGGTGCGCTTCAGTAAGCTTTGACAGATCCTACTGGGTTTCCCGCTTTAACATACAGCGTCTTCATATGGTAATCCTTTTCTAAAGGCCACACAAACAAGCTCATGCTCACAAACATTACTCTTATTCACTTGTCATCCTGTCTAAATAGAGGCAAACGCTTCCTTTGGTCTGGCAGCCTCCTGCATCTGTTCCTTTCTGCCCTGTTTTCTCTAACAAAGGCAAAAGACTCAATGATGGACAGCTACTCCCGCACATTTTGAGAAGAGGAATGGAAAATTAAAGGCTGGTGGGCGCCTGCAAGGTTGTTTTTAGCAAAAATATAAAACAGATGCTACTTAAAGAAGAACAATGCATTGATTTGCAAATTCTAAGACCACCGTCTTATTCCCCGTTGGAAATATGGCTCCGAAATGGTGAAAGCTATTCAGACAAGATCTCTAAAGGATTGAATTCTGCTTATAATGAATTTCTCATTATAATTGGGTTAATCAAAAAGTTTTCGAGCTTGCATTAGTCATTTATTGAGCCTATGGAGACCAAACAGAGATTATTATGTACTCCACTCAAGCATCCTTGTGTATTCCATCATTTTTGTTTTTGTTTCTCAAATCTCATAAAAATAAATCTGTTTTTCTCCTGCAGAAATCTCACTGCACTTTGCTGCAGCTTCTCAGAGTAATACTACATTGTTCACATTAAAATTGCATATGCTAGTGTGCACGGTCCATTCATATCTCTTTAAAACAAAAAGAAAAAATGAATAAAGATGGAGTTGGAGGGAGGAGAGGGAAGGGCTCTTTAGTTGGAGGGAAAACTCTTTACAACAGTGCTGACAGAAACAGAACAACTTCAGCCCATGAGGATGTTCAAAAACATTCAAATACTTGTGGGATCCTTAAGAGTTCTGTGTTATGCAGCTGCTTGTAACCTTCAGCCCAGCTCCAACTGTTCCCCACTATTCAGCAAAGTCTCAGAGCAGCAGTTTAAAGGTTTATCTGGACATTTACCATCTACTGTAACTGCTCTTTATATACTTTGTACAATGACTTGTTAAATATTCATACCTTCTTAACTTTACAAAATTTGGTATATTCAACTTTTTTCTTTTTCAACCTAAAGCTTCAAATATATTACAACACAAAATGGTGCATACTTAAGCAGTGTAAATAAAAGCATTGTTGTTTTTTTTTTAATTATTTTTCAAAAATAAAAACTGTGGGCTGCAGGTTGTTGTGTAAAGCTTTAGATTCTGTGGAAATCTGCAGCATCTTCAGGGTCTGCAGGCTTTTTTAATAAGTGCTTTCCTTCTGGTGATGCTTGTTGACTGTTTGTATTTGGTTATTTCTATGTCATAGTTTTGTAATGGAATAATCACTGCTGGGTGAAATGATAAAAGCTGTCATTATGACCTAAACCTGCTATCCCTGACCAGTGTGGTGCTTGTGATTGCTCAATAACATAAACCTCTGAGGTCTTCAGTTGTAAATTGTAAAAAGGTGGACAAAGGTGTCACATTTAAGAGGCATGTTATGAATTCCTTTTTAATCTGTAACACATTTTATAAAAGAATTTATCGTTTTCCTCTAAAAAAATAAGCTGGATTTTCTGTTTTTAAACATGACAAACTGTAGAAAAAATACAGAAAGATTTTCAACTCTCTATTATTGCTTACATTTCAATACACACACATGCAAATGTTTTTTTTTCTTTTGGAGACCAACCTTGTGGAAGCTGCCATGGAAGATTTTCTTGATGTCTGGTCCTTCAAATGTAACAGTCTGGAAGTCTCCTCTGTAGTCGTGGTTGAAGAATGTCAGCGTCTTCCCAGAGCCTGTTGGCAGGCAGGTAGAGTGGTTATGGGATGAGGTTAGAGAAGGTTAAACTTTGCAGACATTTGGATTCAAGTTGTGATGCTGTATTAAGAAAACAAGCAATTTAAGTGTTACTTTTTTGCATTTCACTTTTATTCACATCAAAATGTTACAAGCAAAATGACTAGTGTGCATCCTGGAAGACATCTTTTTTTAATGCAATAATCTGATTGTGAGCCTTGAGTTCAATTCAAGTTACATGTATAAGGATATTTAGTCCTATTTAAGAGGAGTAAATAAAATAATTCCACTTAACCCCTCTTAAATATAATTATTTTAAAACAAAGCAGGGCCCTTATGTGTCTCCAGCTTTGTTTCTGAAATTTGAAAACTCTATATTTAGTTGAAAGAAAGGAGGAGAACAAAAGGAAAAACAATAAAGCAGAAAAACTTTAAAGGACTTAAACTTACTGTCGAGGATTAGTCCCACGATCGGCTCATTGCCTTTGTTGAGGATCTCCCACAAAGCAAAGGGTTCCTGCGGGGTCTCAGGGAGCAAACGGAGCATCATAGAAACGGTGTAGTCTGAAGGCAAACCTTCAGGGTGAAGGTACCTGAGGAGGAGACACACAGCAGGCTTAGCTGTGCCTCAGGTTCTCTTTTATAAATGTCTTTAGCAGCATGTCAGGTGCTGCAGACAGACTGAGCAGCATCTGCCACCTATTCATGATTACAAAGCCTATCTCGTTTTTAAGAAGTTACTTTAAGAAAAATGTTTTTAATATCACCCACAGACCTTTTGTTACTGACAAAAAGAGCAATCACGCAACAGGACAATACAACTAGATCCCATTGAAAGCATAAACAAAAGAAACACAGATCCTGCAGTGATATCAACATTAAAAAACTAAAACATTAAAGAATCTGAAAGAAGCCAATTAATATATCTTAATTACCTTTACTACTTTAAGTATTTTTAAATTTTCAGGAATGAAGGTAGTGGATAAATGCTCCCTTGGGACTGGCATCAAAATCTTTTTATTTGTCTTTATGAATGTAGTGTCTCTTGATGCTGAAGTAAGAGTTATGCTTTAAATCTTAGAAAATATTAAAAATACTTATTGAGTGGATTTAGAATGTTCTAAAATCTGATGTGGATAGTTAATAATAGCCAAAAGTATCCAAAGGGAAAAACTATTTCAGTGTTACCGCCACAAGAAATACAAATAAAACAGAAGTTGTAATTGATGTATGGCTGCAACTTTTCTTTTCACACTTTACTGATCTATGTGCTGCTGCATGGGGAAGGGCAGATATACCACCTTAAGGCTTATAGCCATGAGAAGGATGTGTTCCCTTTCGCTTTCTGCCACTTTACTGTCCATAAAGCTGTCATATTAGGGCCATTGCTGCTACTAAAATAAACATGATGCAATACCAATGTGTTTGTCTAAAATGTTGCAAAAATGTTTTAAATATTGCTTTGAGTGTAATGGAGCCGAGGCGGAAATTCAACTGAAGAAACTCTGTTTTTTCACACATCCACCTGTGTCACAGCCAATCGGCTTTGAACCACTCCTCCACGAAAGCCAATTGGCATCCAAAGCTCATCTTAAAAGGCCTCCGATATGCACCTGTCTGCTCCTGTGCGCATGCGGTCGTTGCGCTATTTGATTTTATTCAGATGACCCCGTTTCAACCCACCTCCAGCCCCTCCTCCACCATCGTAGCTAAAACTTCATTAGAGTGTCATTCCTCCCGGACTCTTACTGCGTTCCCTGTCTCTCTTAACCGGTCCGGCAGAAGACCACCATGTTGAGCCTGGTTCTGCCAGAGGTTTCTTCCCAACGGGAAGTTTTTCCTCTCCACTGTTGCTTCATGCTTGCTTATCATGGACAGGTTCTCTCAACCTGTGTTATCCAACTGGACTTCCATTTTCCAGGTCCCTGAGTTAAGCTCTAGTATCAGCTCACGCAATCAACTAGATCTCCCCATAAAGCTCAGCTGACCGTCTCACTAACCAGCAGTCTACAGACTGACCAACTTCATCTATCTCCACTCCACCACCAGTTTCAGGCCTTGGGGGGAAACACTCCTGTTCTTCACTCTTGTTCATGCATATCCATCAAAATTAAGCGCCATGTTTCCTGCAGAGATCTGAGCGCCAAAGGCAAAGTAATTGTATCAATACATTTCTCCTAATGATGAAATAAAAAAATCTAAAAATTTTATTCATCTTTAACTTGCCAGTATGATACAAAAAAACAACACAGATTTATCTAAAGTAAAGAAACTGTTGTGCACTCTGGTTAGAATGTTTTTTTCCTGTAATGTCCGGTGTTTTATGTATGTCAAACTTAACATTTACAGAGTCAGCTGGGGTTTTATTAGACAATAAAAAATAGCTCACAAAAACTTTCGATTTTACTCCATTAAGAGCTTCTGTGTTTCTAAAAGAAAGTATGTCCCAAGGAGAACAACTGATGTTTGTTCTGAAAGCTCCCACAAGCAATGGTCACTTTTAGCTTTGAGTGTTAAGAACGTTTTTGGGCAAACTAAAGAAGTAATTTGATTTACAAAATGTTTAGCAAGTTTGGAAGTGAAACTGGAAGCATGATTAAGAGATGTAATTTTACAGTGTGTAGTTGGTGTCTCAATGAGGACATGTTTTTGCTCACTTGGTGGGCTGTGACACCAGAGCATCGCGGTGCAACCTGTAGCAGGGGTAGCTGTTAAATGAACCAGGCTCCATAGAAACTCCAGGTATGGTGCTGTACTCCTTCTCTACCAGGCCAAACTTCTCCATCATTTTAAAACCTGAAGCAGAATCATTAGAGTCATGGTTAACCCCTAAAATGATTACCTTCATCATCATCATCATCATCATCATCATCATCAAACCGCTAAACTTAAGCAACATTATTGCTGTCATTGTTCATTTTCTGCAGAAGGACCTTTGTCAGTCTGCAAAAATATTAATAACTTTCCCAAGTTTCTTACCCGCCAGTGTATTGCCACTCATCAGAACAGATGGACAAGCTGAAAGACAGGGAGAGTTTATCATTTCTATGACTAATCTGAAACTAAACAACTTTTAAATTAACTCAAGAAATGCTGTGATTCTCATGTGCGCTGATTCTGTCTGTGTTTTAAAAAAAAAAGTGAGTTGGTCCTACTTACTGGCAGTGGCGGCCTCACAGACAAAGGTGATAAGCTGCTCTTCTATTTTCTTCACAGCGTCCAAATCATCCACGAAAAAGACGTGCCTGTCACTAGGTTTACTGGCAATATTCACCAGCTCTCCATAGTCTGCATCCGCAAATCCAATTGCAAAGATTATGTAGCCTAAAAAAGGGGTGAAACAGAACATTTTCAGACAAGCTTGGGGTAAATGACTTAAATTAAAAATTACTTCCTTAATTTAGCACTGTAGAACTGAGGAGTACGCCTATAGTCTAGGCGTTTTAAACCAGATTTTTGAAGTGTTCGTCAAAACTAAAAGGATGCCCCAGAAGTCAGAATTGCCACGATGAAATTCAGGGGATCTCCCAGGTTGAATATTCAAATAAAACTTACTCAAAGTTGCAAAAATGGCTACATTTTGACTCTTTATAAGTAGCATTTCATTAATTCACTGTCATCCAGTGTTGTTCAATTTAAACTATTCAATATTTCTTTTGGTGTTTAAACACATCAGTGGGAGAAAATAAATTCTTAGCTTTTATTATTAATAATAGTTGCCTGTTGTAAAGCTTTAATCAAATACGGCTGCTATTAGGGATGCACGATATTGGGATTTTGGCCGATATCCGATATGCCGATATTTTAAAACTCATGTAGCCGATAACCGATATCGATACCGATGTTAAAGCTGGACAAAAATAAGTAGTCATTGAAAATAGCAGTTTTGTTATCCATTTCTGACACTTTGAAATATAATATACTCAAATATATTGTCATATGCTGATATCAAATTGATTTTTAAAAATGCGGTATCGATCTATTTTACTTTCAAAACCTCGTGAAATTTCATCGTTCTGTTACAAACTCTTGTGATATTTGCAAATTCTTGTGAGATTTTGTTAGTAAAATAGATCGATACCGCGTCAATACATCAACATATAAAAATATGGCAAAATTTCGTGAATTTCGGGAGATTTCGTAGCATAACGATGACATATAGCAATATTTCATTAGTAAAAGAGATTGATATGGTGTTTTTAAATGGCAATATATCAGCATATGAAGATATTGGGATATTTTAATGTATCTTTAGAAGATTTTAAGTCTGTAAAAAAGAAGTTTTTGAGGAAGAAGAAGAAGTAGTATTTTTTTTTTTTAGACTTTAGAAACTCAGAAGCTGATCAAATATCGGGTTAAATATCGGTGGGGTGGCCGATGTCCGATATTCAGTTTTAAGGCCGATACCGATAGGGGGCCGATTATATCGCGCATCCCTAGCTGCTATGCATTACTATGCAACTGAAGTTGCAGGTGTTTTTTGTATTTATAAACACTTCAGATGGTTTTGAATCTTTTAAAACGGTTCATTATTACAATATAATTAACAATGAGGAAAATAACCATATGAAAACTCTGATATTTTGCAGGTTCACCCACTTAGAAACCATGGAGAGATCTAAAATTGTTACTGTAGGTGCATGTCCACTATGAGAGACATAATCTAAAAAAAAAAAAGAAAATATCCAGAAATCAAATCGTTTTTTTTTTACTATTTATTTGTATGATACAGCTGCAAATAAGTATCTGAAAACCTGTCTATCAGCTAGAATTCTGACTTTCAAAGACCTGCTAGTCAGCCTTCAAAATGTCCACCTCCACTCCATTTATTATCCTAAATTAGATGCACCTGTTCGAGGTCATTAGTTGCATAAAGACACCTGTCCATCTCATATAATCAGTAAGAATCCAACTACTAACATAGCCAAGACCAAAGTACCATCCAAAGACACTAGAGACAATATTTTAAACCTTCACAGGGCTGGAAATGGCTGCAGGGAAATTACCAAGCAGCTTGGTGAAAAAAGGTCCACTGTTGGAGCAATCATTAGAAAATGGAAGAATCTTAACATGACAATCTCCCTCGGAGTGGGGCTCAAAGCAAGATCTCACCTCGAAATCAGCCCTGAAATACAGGAGCTGGTCAATGACCTGAAAAGAGCTGGGACCACCGTTTCCAAGGTTACTGTTGGTAATACACTAAGACATCATGGTTTGAAATCATGCATGGCTTGAAAAGTTCCCCTGCTTAAACCAGCACAAGTCAAGGTCCTTCTTAAGTTTGTTAATGGCCATTTGGATGATTCAGAGGAGTCGTTGGAGAAGGTCATGAGGTCAGATAAGACTAATATGGAACTTTATGATCATAATTCCACTATCTGTGTTTGGAGGAAGAAGAATGATGAGTATCATCCCAACAACACCATTCCTACTGAGGCACGGGGTGGTAGCATAATTTTTGGGGGTGTTTTTCTTCACATGGGACAGGGCAACGGCGCTGTATTGAGAGGATGACCAGGGCCCTGTATTGTGAGATTTTGGGGAACAAACACCCTCTCTCAGTTAGAACATTAAAGATGGGTCCGGCCTGGGTCTTCCAACTTGACAATAACCAGGATAACCAAGGAGTGGCTCTGGAAGAAGCATCATAGTTCTGGCGTGGCCTAGCCAGTCTCAAGACCTAAACCCAATAGAGAATCTTTGGAGGGAGCCTAGAAACCTTACTGATCTATAAAAGATCTGTGTGGAGGAGCGGGCCACAATCCCACCTGCAATGTGTGCAAACCTGATGAAAATCTACAGAAAAAACATTTTACCTCTGGAATTGCAAACAAAGGCTACGGTACCAACTGACAACATTGATTTTTTTCAGGTGTTCAAATAGTTATTTGCAGCTTTATCATACAAATAAATAGTTAAAAAAATGATATATTTTGATTTCTGGATTTAAAAAAAAAGAATATGTCTGTCACAGTAGACATGCTTCTACGATGACATTTTCAGGCCCCTGAATGTTGAAAAACATCTAATCTCATTAGTTTTACGACTTTCAACTACATCACAATCAACACAGGTTTTAAATTAGTCCAGCTCCAACTTCTAACATCAAACTTAGCAATATTTGCAAGTCAGAAATCCAGTGAATCATACTAGCAGCAAACAAGTAAATATAAACTTTTATTCATCTCATGTGCTTGACAACCAAAAGATTTATAGAACTATGTATTCCAATAAAGGTTTTAGGCAGTATTACAGTCTAAATCAGGGTCCCTCAATTCTGGTCCTCAAGGTCAGATTGTCCCGCACCATTTAGATAGGTTTGTACATCAACCTGAGTAAAAAATATATTTTTAGCGGATTCTGGAGAACTTGACTGCCCAATGAGGAGGTTTTTCAGCAACTGATTCAGGTGTGGAAGCAGAGACACCTCTAGAATGTGCAGGACACCAGATCTTGAGGACTGGAATAGCATTTTCACATTTCTGAAATGTTGAAAATCCAGCTCTAGTCAGCAGAGTTTAGCTCTCCAAAGTGCAAGACTGGGGTGTAACTTGACAAGACAGATATCATGGTATGGTCAAGAATTTTACACTCAGTTAAACAACACACATACCCTCCATTTGCATCTCCTTTGACACTTTGTTGACATCATCTTGTGAACGACCATCAGTCAGAACTACCAGAACCTTGGGAACACCCCTCCTCGCTCCTGCATCTGAGGTGAAGATGGATTCCTTCACATGTTTAATGGCTCGACCTAAGAAAAATAAAAGCAATTCAGATGTATAAAAACAAAAAACAACAAAATCCACCTTAGCCTCATCAATGAGCCTTATGACACCTATACTCTTAACGGGTTATCAGTCATTTCCAGTAAATGTCTGACTCACAGCTTCGTGCAGCTCATGGGCTGTAAAACCTACATTACCTACAAAACCTACAACATTAAAAGGCTGTTTCATTACTCTGACGATTACTGTATGTTCTGGTTCCCTTGCAAAAAACTCCCTTCATCAGAACCAGCCTCCTCATGGAATTACGTCTTTTAAATTCAACCCACATCAAAAGCCTATTTATGAATCTACAGATAGAATTGGCTTCCTTTGGTTAAGTATTATTGCTGCTTGATTATCCGTAAACTTCCTCAACTAACAGTTTAATGATTTTATTGTCATAATCGATGTGCGGTGAAACTTTTGGAGAAAAACACTGCAAAATATCAGCTAGCAAATTACTATATAACTGTACAGCTATTAATCTGAAAAAAGTATTGATAAAAATCTAAAAAATAACACCCTAAAAGACAGAAATGTTTCCACTTCGTAAAAAAATAAAAATAAAACAATTGTTTGGCCAACCCCAACAATGGAACCACAGAGGAAAATCCTCTCTGATTAAGAGTACATTAGTACAAATGTATTTATTTATTTTTGTATTGGCATTAATAACACACAATACTGAAGGTTACAAATTGTTAAAACCTCACAAAATTGCCTCTACCTTTAAAGCTGACTTGGAGACTGACAAATTAGACTAACATAGACAAGTCATGCTGTAGACTTTAGCAAAAGTTGGCAGTGGACTGATCACCTGCTAATAAAGCTTATCGTTCAATATCAAATGTCTAGACAGGCCATGTCTCTGCATACTGCTCTGTGAATTTAATAAATCCTTACTTGAACGTGGATAGGCTTTGGCCTCACCACAGCACAGCTTTAGATATGGTAGCTTTTTACACTGTGTAGAAAGGAAGCATTGCCCTGACAGCTCGTTTTTCCCCATTAAGATAATAAACTAAGAGGTATCAATATCGAGCAAGTAAACAGTTAAATTTACACACAAGATGTTTTATAATCCAGAGCAAAATAATCATTATGTGCATTATCTTTTACATCAGCAGGTCGTATGGGATCTGCGTTAATGCTTATGCAAATAGACCTACAGTCTGAATGACTTGTTCAGATCAGGTGATAATTAAACTCAAAATGTTGCATACAGTCGACAATCACTAATTAATTGATCAATACTGTAAAGCTTTTTGTTATGGCTCCATCATCAAACCTCAAACTAAAGTTTCTGATGATATCATAACTTTCTTTATTTGTCATGAATCTGTCAGTGATAACAAATGACAAACTGTCAGCCTGTGAAATGTAGTGATGTCAGACATCTGGGTGCGGTACATCTGTTTCTACACTCTGATTGTGACGAGCATGACTAGAAATACAGCAGCTAGAGAAGGATGAAGTGACACACAAGACAGCACATGGAAGGAGGGGGGGTAGAAAGAGCAGGGGATTGGTGGATGGAGATTAAGACAGATTAAGACAGGGTTCTTATGAAACAGCAAACATTGAAGCTAATATATTATTGCACTTTTCAAGTAAGTTTATGTTCAAGCATTGCTTGTCAAAATGCAATCCAATTTCGAAAGAGTGTTTGAGGACAAACAGGATTTTCTGCGTTTTTCAGCTTTGATCCTGCTGCCTAGGAAGTGTAATACCATTATTAGAAACATAATTATTCAAATAATGTCGTTTTCATATAAAAAACACATAAGCCTGTTGAAAACTAAGAAGGATTCAAGTCATACACAAAGTAATACATAGCCGTGATAAAGATCTAATGATAATGGTCTCACAGTTTAATGCTGACCAACAAAGTGCACTTTGAAAAATCCCAAAAAACCAAACAGTTGGGTTGATCTTGCTGTTATCAAACCAGCATTTAACTACAGGGTCAACGATTGTGACCCAATGTGATGGGGTAAGGCTAGATGGGCTTATTGTTTTTAACCCCTTAACACCCATTGTTGCAGATATGCAAGAAACCCTTTGTATTAAGTACACAGCCAAAAAAGGCAATCCCTCAGTGCCAGTTATTCAACATTTATGGTGGACCTGAGAACCTTGGCAAGCTTTTTCCATCACTTGATAATGGTGTGTTTCACTGACCATTATATATGTTGTCACAAATTTGTAATATACCTTAATTTGTACTTAGTTTTAAAATAAATAGAGAGTGTAAACATTTCCATTTGGCAACTACTTAAAGGCAAAAGACTTATATATATATATATTTTTTTTTTTTTTGATTCTTCAATTTGTATATGTATTTTACGGAGTCTATGGTGTAACAGAGGACTTTAAACACTTTGAACTAATGTCCTAACTAAAACACAACTTTGTGAAATTATCGTCTTTATTCAGCAATATTACATAATGGTACTGTTTATTTTCCTTTTTAAAAGATTTAATTTCAGTGAAGTCTGATGGTTATGTATGGCACTAATATTATACACTAATATTATACACTTATACACTAAAGGAAAAAGGACAGATTTTATCTTGATAATGTTGTGACAATGTTCAAATATATCAAGCATTAAACTCCCTTTTGTTGCTACACTTTCACGTTGGCAACATTGTTTTATTACCTCAAAATAGAAGGTGTGATCTGAATCTTACTACACTAGATTACTACACCATGTTGGGTAATTGTACTTCCTGCGGTGGGGCTGTTAGCTTTTTAAAAGCAAAATCAAATGAAAAACCATTTAGGTAGCAACTTAGTTAATGCATTTTAAATTAATTTGTTAGCACCTAAAACACAGCAACTCTTGTAAAAAGATCCAAAACAAATGCGAAATCAAAAACTTTATCCTAGTTTAAGCAAGGTATATTTGTATAAAGGTAAAAAAAAAAAAGCAAGCAAATGCTTAAAAACAATAACCTTAAAATTGTTTTGTGTATGTGGTTTTAGTCCCTTTACTCTGATATGCTTAAGTAATATCCGCTGTGAGCAACTGACTTCATAAGTCACTAAATATTTTAATAAAGCCAACTAATTCATTAATCTAATATCAGAATAAATGCAGTTCAGTCATGTGAAGGCCTCACAGGTTTGAACACCAAGGAACACTGCAGAAGGGTCAGGAAGAAACTTGTGAGCAAGGTAAGGTTATAAAACAATATCACAAGCTTTAAGTATTTGATTAATCTCTATTTAACCCAGCATGGTACAAAAATAAACTTTCCAAACTATGGCCTATTATCTAAACTGACAGGCTGAAGAGTCGGAGAATGAAGGAAGGGGGTCATGGGAAATGTGCAGGAGTTGCTGCAAGGAGCTGCCAATAGAATCTGAGGGGAAATTCTGCTGGCAGAAGAAAAAGAAAAAAAGCGATTTTTGAAAAGCTAAACCAAGTCCAACTATGGCTGAAGCAGCATGATGCTGTGCATTCCTCAGCAGGGACAGGACAGCTTTGAGTTGTTAGGAAAATTGATAAAGGTTAAACAGAGAAACTCGGGATCCAAAAAAGATTCTGCAAATGACTTAAAACTGGGAGGTTTTATGTCAAAGAGCTCCAACTTAAAATGAATGAATGTTTTCTTTTTTTGTATGTATCAATATTTCACAACTGCCTAGCCAAAATCCAGACCTCAATTTGGTCAAATCTACATGGGAACAATTCAACACTTATCTTAGAATGTTTTTCCAAGTAATCTGGCTAAGCTTGGGAAAATATTTTCCAAAAAATGGGAAAAAATGTCAAACTTTTTGTCAACTGGACCTGACATCTCCCCCCAAAAAGATTTGTCATTTAAACAGTAATAGAAAACAGGTTCTGGTTGTGACAAAATGTATTTAAAGGTAAAGGTGTACGAATGCTTTACTAGTTAACATAAATCCATAATGAAAACAAATAAAAAGCAGTTCGTGGATTTACCATAATATTAACTATAACAAATATTATTGCAGGCAGCATTTTAACAGAATTTGAAACCCTACATCTTTTTACAGTTATTCTAAAACACATAGTATATTTACATATCTTTAAAACAAAGCAGCTGTAAGTTTTGTTGATAATAAATGCCACCTTTTTTTTTTCTTTGTGGTAAGCATAAAGATAAAGACTTCCTCATTTAACCATGTAATGCAAAATGTATCATATTTGATAGATACGGTTTCTGAAATGTTTTGCGTCTGACACCTTTTGCATAATTTAATGGTAAAAGCTTTGCTCAAAATCCTATTGTACAAAATCAGATATACCTGATAACAGAGGGCAGAAGACTACACAAAAAATAATCTTGACTTATTGCATAGTAATAAATTATTAATATCAAAAATGTTTTTCTGTTTTTTCTTTTTACATATTTTGTTAAAAGGCCAAATAAGGACTTCAAACCAAAATAAAGTAATTTTCTGTTTTGTTTTATTCTTGGATCTGGCTTTAAAGGGTTAAACATTCAACTCCTGTAAAGGTGAGAGACAAAGAGAAATAGGCAGATAGTCAGATCTTGCATCTGTGAGCATTAGTTGATCCTCATGAGAGCTTACTGCCTCTGTTTCTGACGATGAAATATCATGGTTCATTTTCTGCTTTTCCATAAGACGCATGCATTTTGTTTGGATAATGTCATGTCAGCTATAATACTCGCTTCATCTCCTTCTGTTAAGCTGTGAGCAAATAGAGATGATATTTGTGGAGACCTGCGAACAAAACAAAAAGGATGAAGAAAGCAAAGTGAGAGAGGCAGGAGGAGAGAGAAGAAGGTGGGCCAGTATTAATTTGCAAAATGGTCGCTCACAGACTCTAGATGAATGAAAGGGCTGCTGACAACATTTCCAATAAAAACAGAGACCTGTTGAATTACTGACAACGATCTGGTGTGTTTAACGGAGGAAACTTTCATACTGCTTATTGTGCCTCCTGACTCTGTATTAGAAATGTGTTCTCCCTGCAGTAAGTGAAAGTTTGGCTATAGACTGAATATATTTAGCTGAATAGATTTAACAGGCTTTTTTGGCAGCGCCGGGATGAAAAAAACATCCGGCTTGACAACCTATCTTGCAGATGTTTACAAAGTACCACAATCAAATAAATAAATACTAATAAAAATGTCATATATGTTTTCCTACATAAAAAAACAGAGAAATAAATTTTTTCAAGGCATTAAATAAAAAATAAGTTAAGTTAAAAATAAGTTAAAAATAGTTTATTACTCAAAATTCTGCTTAACTGCTTCATATTTCCTTTTCTAGCCTATCAGGCAATAAAACTATTCCTACATCTTGCCAAACAGAGTCTAAAATCTGATTGATGCACAACAGTCATCTGCTGACCAATCAGCTTATCTGAAGCCCTATTAGCCCCGCCTCTCAATAGCTAAAATAATTCCAAAAGTGCTGCAACAATATGAAAACATACATTAAAATAAATGGTTATAAATACTCTATTGACTGATACTGAAAATATATTATAACTAGTTTTTAACACTTCATTAAATATTGAAGAAGTCATCATCAAATTTATGCTTAAGCCATTTTTATTTTGCAACATCTATTTATTGATTGTGTCTTCAATTACATCTAATGGCGTTGTCACACCTTGACGATTTAGCCAGCTTATGCCGATGTCCCAGAATCTCCTAAAAAGCTGGCATACGCTGAATTTACTATGTATTTTTTATTTTAGGCGTATACATAGAGTATTCATAACGAGTCCAGAACTTATGTCCAATGAAAATGTATCTTATGCATAACGCACAGCAGCGTTGTGCCCATGAAATGTCACAAACCAGTGTCCTGAGGGGGACAGCAATGCGCCCGGAGGCGACCGGTCTACATAAAAAGCACAAGAAGTAGTTTTCTCTAAACTTCGTAGTTGCGGTACTAACCTAGCCAAAAAAAAAAAGAAGGAAGGAAACAAAGAAAGAAGGTTTGCAGACGCAGTATATTAAGCATCATTCTGCTAGGAAGTTTGTTGGTCGTGGGTTTGAACGCAAGGAGGATCCATCAAATTCACAGATGATACAGGATGGATAAGCTGGAAACAACGCTTTATGTGTTACTTACAATTAACGAATGTCAACGATCACAAAACTTACCTGTAACTTATGGCCCACATATGATCATACGCTGGAAAACGTCAAGAAATGTGCTTAAAATTTCTTAACGTACTTGCCGTATGTTGACATGTATCAGTGTGCTCATAACTTATACAAAACTTACCCATAACTTATCCACTTTACGTCAGCGTTTCTGACAAATTCTTTGTACACTGGGCTTTAGCTGGCTAAATTGTCAAGGTGTGATAGCGCCATAAACGATCAGATAGATCAATATGTACTCAGTGATATTCATGTTTGACTCATGGGCCTTTTGCGCCTGATATGAAAGGTTTTAAACAAGTCAACATGTTTAATATAAATCAAAACTAAAAGCTGATATGAAGTTGAAGGCATGTCAGCATGCAAGATTGAAACACAATGAAAAGAGGCATTCAAAAGGTAAAGATTTCTCCAATGCATGAACATTTCACAACATGGAGAACCAAGGTTTGGAAATGAAGCCTGATTAACTTGAGAGATTCTGGATATCTTAGAGATTCTTTTCTTAAAAATAAGTCATTTCAGTTAGTCAGACAGTATTTCTTTCCAGAGATGTAAATAGATCCTTCCCACTGCATTATGAAAACACTCATTGAAAAGAAAAGTTAGTTTAAAAAGACATTGTGGAAATATTAGGCTTAGAGCTTTTACTCCCAGGATCAATATTTAGGACCATCTAAGGACTCTAAGCTGTCTAAATATAAATCTGTTTTATGAGGGGAAAGTGCTGTCTGCAATACTGCTATGGGATTTCTATCAGACATCTGAGGTAAATTTAGACTGAGGTAAGAAGAAGAAATAATTGCGAGTTACTTTGAAAATGAAACCGTCAGCCCAGTAATCAAGGTAAAGCCATTCTCTAACCTGTCTTGGTGTTCCCCCCCTTGTATCTGATCTTCTGGATGGCTTCCAGCAGGGCTTCTTTGTTGCTGTGAGAACTCAGCAGAAATTCTGTCCGTGCATCATCACTGAACTGAGCAACGGCCACCTGAGGAGAATTGGACATGGAAAATAAGTTCAGAGGACAGTAAAAAAAATATGATTTCAGCATTAACTTCCTATCCATCTGTGCCTATCATGTCTAAAATCCTGCAATAAAGAAATTGATTTCTCAGAAAACAACTGTCCAGCTGATTCACATTAGAACCAAACTATCATCACTTCAGAGAAGATTCAACATTGGTCAGCACAGGTTTGGTTCAGAAAACTTCAAAACAAGAAATAAGTCAGATTACTTAAGTTAGGCTTTATAAAGACACACATTTGCTGTTGAGTCTAAGCTACTTACGTAATATCTATTTCAGTTTCATTTGAAATGTTCAGACAAATCAAAAAATCCATAATTTATCATTGGACTGTATAGCATACAGATTTCTACGGAAGATGATTAGGGCCACTGGGAAAAAAAACAACTGATTTTTAAATTTTATTTCAGTATAAAATAAGAAATATAATCTAATCTAAAATAAATATAATCTCAGAATTCTGACTTTAATCACTGAATTCTGACAGCTAACAAATATGTTAGCCTCAAGCCGTAGCTATGTCTGTTTTGAAGACTAAACTAGCCCTTGTGTGTTACTCACCTTCTGCTCTTCCATTAAAGAAATAGTATCACCGGGGACCCCTCAGGCACATAAAAAAAAAAATCACCTAATTCCATCATTTTCCACCAATGTGTTACTGTTCCTCCCAAACAACTCACATCTTTGACAGTGAAGCTGAGTGCTTCCACATCTCTTCTTTCATGGTGCCCATCTACATTAAGATCCAGAATTCTGAGAAAAAAGACAGAATTCTGAGATTAAAGTCAGAATTCTGACTTTTTTCTCATATTATACTGAAATAGAATTTAAATATCAGCTAACTTTTTTTTTTTTCACTGTTCCTAATCCTCTTCCGTAGATTTTATGTTATATTAAATATATTAGTTATGTTAGTGTAGATATTTATATGCATATATGTGGACATATCTAACAGGGAGAGAAAGGGAGAGAGGGGAAACTGAGATCAAAATAAAAATTAAGGTTCTAAGAAGCCTCTATTTAGTGTAACTTAATAAAAGACTTGTACCAAAAGAGTTGCTGTTCAGAAAAGTTGTTCTATTGGGTGTGTGATATAAATGCATTCTACATTTTATATTTTATCATGAGAAATATTCAAAACGGCGTATAATGTGTCTTTCACTTCTCAACTTTGCAGACCTTTCACTTAGTCTATCATCTTAAATCAAAACACTTTTAAATGTGTGATCCAGCACAAATAAAAGGGAAAAAGTTTTGGTGTGAATATTTTTATAGGGCACTTTATGTTTAGACATCTAATGCTGATCTATAATCAATCTAATTCCCTTCTCTAAGAGGGATGGCCTCCTATCATCCCTTTACCACTAATGGTGCTGCTGTTGGCTCGGGTCTGATTACATTTACAGGCCAACTGCCTCTTTACAGTGCAGCCAACTTTCTCACATTACAACCAGTGGTTTGCTGTCAGCATCCCACTGCTGGGAGGTTATAGGGAAAAGCAAAGACAGCAAACTGCTTAACAGCAGACATTACACAGATAAAAAAGGAAAGGTTAGGCGAGTACCTATATAGTGAGACAAATGAAGCAGCTGAAACCTACTGACACTGTGGAGGCCATACAGGAAAGAGGCCCGTATAAATCAGTTCACACAGGCAGAAAGATGGAAACTACCACTATTTCGAGTCAGGCATTGCTATTGATGAGCCTTACCGAAAAATAAATTGTAAGACTGAAGTAGCATAATTCAGAGAAATGTCCGTAGTGCTTTCTTCTCTGCTTGAACTACTTGATGTTTCTTTTTATGCATTTAATTCATGCAGATTTAACTTATTAAAAACACCATTCATGCAGAAGAGGTAATGTTTCCTGGCAAAGTACACAGTGGCAGCAAATGAGCAAGTTAATCGAATGCAGCACAGCAACTCATAAGTCCCTCCAGAAAGTAAAGATTGACTCACTAGGGGAAGAGAGTTCCTTCTCACTCTCCTAAACTTTTAAATAGATAAAAGGCTGCAGCCAAGAGAGTTTCTCAGGGGAGTGACAAATTAAAAAGGGGTAAAGAAAACAGCTACTGTGCTATATAAAGTAAGGCAGAATTGGCACTTTTCTCTTAATAAGCAAAAACATGAATAAAGTTTATCGATCCAAGTGTCAATTTAAGAGGAACAGAGAATTTAATTACTCCTTTCTTCTTCAAATGCAGAAATGTCCTAATAATAGCAAATTACCATAACCCATATTAATACATATGAAAACTTAACAATTAGCAAGCAAAACATTTGAATTGCTGAAACTATGTTAATTCTGTTGGGGTTTTTTAGCTTTCCCAAAATTGCTTCCTAGTTTCCAAATGTATTCACATTTTTAGTTCAAGAATTTGCTTTGCATTACTTACCCACTAAGAATTTGCTTTACATAGAAATCTAAGAGAAAAAGTTTAACAAGCCTCACAAACATCTACAAATAAATAATGGTACTATGACACAGCATATCATCTGGCTTCATCTAAGCCTATTATTAGCATCCTCTACTCTTGCATCAACCTGAATATAATCCTATATTACTGTACATCCATCAATATTCTCTGCACAGCACCAACCCATCCCCTCCTAGCCTCTCTAAATTTGTCTGCAGGTAAATGGAACAAAACACAGAATGGATACAGGCAATCCATGTATTTTCCTACAGAAACCTTTTCTGAAGAATCTGACAAATAACAAAATAAGGGAATATTACATAGATAAAAAAAAAATGTTTATTCTCTTGGAAAAGTGCTCAAATTGAATGAGTTTTGAGAGCTGGTAGATAAAACTGAGGCCAAGTAATGGGGAGAACAACCACAAAACAACAAAAGTTAATGCATAAATGACTCACCGCATAAAATACAAAAGCAATGCAGACATTTACATATAACAGTAGATAACTCGCATACCTTTAATACCTCTATAGCACTTTCAGTGTTCCTCTCGTCTCCCTATACATGCGTAGTCTGCCTTGCCTGGCCAGATCTTTTTTTTTTTTTTACTCTGCAGGCCTTTATGTATCTGCTACCTACTTGACAATGTCATCTGCAAACATCATAATCGTTACCCTTTTTATCACCATTTCCACTAAAACTTGCCTGAGAGCTGATGAGAGCCTTAGGGTCTGTTTAAGATGCAGGTAAAATCCCCACTTGGACACTGAAGCAACTCTCTCACTCTGACGCATCCATTCCAACTACCTTAGTAGTATAGCTTCTACCTTAGCCACTATATTATTCTAATACTCTTTAACACTCCCTTGAAGCAAGTTTTTTTTTTTTTTTTGTCTTTCAAAAATTAAGTCACTAGCAGAAGCTAATGAAGGTAAAAACTGTACATTTCAGGCAAATGTATCACTGCATCTCTGTTTAAAGACAAGCAAAAGATTTAGACACTGAGTAGAGTTGACATAGCTGAGGATAAGGTCATGTGACAAACCTGGGTGCCATCTGGTCCAATCAGATCTAATGAGCCCATTGTGCTGTAGAGAAAGCGTGTGATCTTCATGAAGTTGTCATCCCCGATAGACCAAGAGCCATCAACCAAAAATGCCAGGTCAGCCTTGGCTTCCTTACATACTGGACAGATATGACAGTCAAACAGAAAAACTTAGTCAGGTCTTTATTTTACATCCATCATCGTATATATATATATATATATATAAATAAGACTTTCAAAAAGAGCAGAAGTCAGACAAAGACAAAGCAAAATTAGAATATTAACAGGCTGTCTAATATATTCTGTCTGATTAAATATTCAAAGTAGGAATCAGAGCAAAGACACATCTTCAATAAAAGGCTAAATGTGTAAGGATCAGACTTTGAAAACAGTCTAAACGTAAAAGTCAAAAGATAGATTAACGATGTGCAATTATTTCAAAACTCACAGAAGTAACCTATTTAATGGGTTTATGTATTTCATGTCCTATCCTGCTAGCAACTTAGTCCGGTTCTTGGCCTCGCAGCTACTTTGCTCTCTGATTTTATTCTTCTCAGGTTTCTCAATTACTCCCAGAAGCCATATCATAGCAGCTGTAAAGTTGTTCAGGGTTTTTAAAGGCTTTTCATTCTCGAAGTCACCAAATTCCAAGCAGTGTTTATGACCCTAACGGTGTCGATAAATTTCAGGGAAAACATGAAAAATGTTGGCACTTCTGAAGCAACAGAAGAGCATAGTACAGGAGAACCTTGATGGCTCAATAATTTTTCCACTTTCTTTTTGAACTACTATATCAGCCTCCTCTCCAAGCTTCTCTGTTTCTACTTTCTGCAGACAGATATTTGTGTTTATTTTTTTCTAACCTCAGGTTCTTTTCAGTCATGTGCTTTTGGTGCAAAAACCCCTTGCACTAAATTCTCACTCACCCTTTTTTTTTTATTGTTCTAAACACAGATGGCATGCTGTTTGACATGGAGGCATGTCTGACAAAGGTCAGAATGTTAAACAGGAATGCCTAAAGACGGGCTCAGCAGGTGTGCCGGTTATGGTCTGAGGGCTCTATGGGGTAATGCGACCTTTAAAAGGAGAACTAATCTTTTGGGTGAGAGTTGTCAAATCTTTCCTAAGGTTGTTTGTTATTTTTTATGTGAAATAAATGAGTTGACTTTAACTATAGTACAACATAACAAGTTAGAGTTACTATAACCCTATGCTCAGTGATTATGATTAAGCAGGTTAAACTTGATATGCTTTTAGTGGAAATGTTTATGTTATAGCTATTACAGCAGTAACCCCCCAAAAATATTGTCAAGGTTGTTAAAGATTCTTATGTCAGAGAGAAAAGATTTCCAGGAACCAACTTCAGTACAAAGTCACTCGGTATTTCAGGTCACAGAGGGATACACTGTTCTGAAATGCTTCCTCTACTGTGCAAATGTCACTTTATTAAAGGTATAGAGGATGATCTTTTATTCCGGGTGGATCATCTAAATAAGTGGGCCTCCTAAATGCCAATCATACTGGTGAAATGTTTATGTAAGGCCTCCTACGTGCTCACTATCTTTTTTTTCACATGCGCACTTTAAGGCTTATATCTATAGTGAGCTACGGTTCCAGAGAGTCGTTAAAGCTCACTTTTCTCACCGCGGTCAGTTGAAAATGGCAGAGGGTCATAAGAGAACAAGTGTCTATGAAGTGTTTAAAAAGAAAGAAAGGCCTCAGAAGAGGCAACTATAACCCAGAATGCTTTGCACGAAGAGTTCTCCTCACAAAGCATAACAGTATTTGCTGTCACAGCGGCATGCTGTTGCCATAGGCTATCACTAGCAGCGACTAATAACAAAGATGGCGAAGGCACCGCGCAGTGGAGGAGGAGTTACTTGATTAATGGAGAAAAAAGCAATGATCATCGGTCTGAACGGTCAGTTAACTGATTTTGCTATAAAGTCCACTATATATTGCCCAGTGTATGTGGACACAGTAAGCTTGTATGAACTTTAAGAAGAGCACATTTTATACAGGGCGTGCACAAGAAGAAATGGGCTTGTGCATGCTCTTGCACACACATTTTTGCTTTTGGTGGAGAGGGCGGGTCTTTTAAAAAATCCTCCACAATACCTTTAAGTCATTTAGGTTTGTTTGATTTAAATTAACTATCTAATAATACATGCAATGCTTCTTCCAGACATACTACTATGCTGTAGATGCAGCATCTTTCTCTGGAGTCTGGGCGATGACTGTCCTGCTGGTTTTCTGTTATCTTTAAATTCTCATCATGACCATATCTGTTAGGTTGTTTTGCTGTATCAGAGCCAATATTTCTCCAAGCAGAACATGAGTTATCCAAGCTAACTTTTTGATTAGCTACACCAACACATCTGGAAATAACTTTAATAACCATCATTAAATAATCTAGTCATGATGCTTGTATAGCAATTTATTTACTTACATCTTACTATGTGAAATACAGCATTCCTAAAGAGATCAAAAATGTATCTAATCATCTTTCTACCATTTCCCCCAGGGACATATGCGATTGAGGATCACAGAAACCTATTGACTTATAAAGTAAATGAGAATTTATTGAAAAAATATGAGTTTCTTAGATTACATTTCTTCCATCTTAATAAATAAAGTTAAGCTACAAGTTTAATATTTCCCCAATTTTCAACTTTTACTATTGTATGAATATCAGTTAAATAAAAAGATTTTTCACTCATCTTTACTGGGGTATTAGCAAGAGTGCTGCCTTCATTAGAAAGTGATTGGTATGATGACTCAGTCTGCTTTAAATAAAACTGCTTGCAAAATCATGGATGAAGCTCAGTATAAACTCGACTAAAACACACATAAAAATGTTCCTGTTTAAAGTACTGCACCCATGAGATAGACAGCTCTTCTTATTGCAGTTCAAATGTACCTTCTTTAGCAGGTGGGATGGTGGGAGTGGGCTCCGTGGTGGGTGGTTCAGTCGGAGCCTGAGTGGGCTCTGGTACTAAATTAGTAAAAACACAAGGAAGAAAGGCAAGAAAATACAGCAATGTCATCAGGAAATTCTGTCAGAGTTTATATGCAAATAAAAACTCAAATAACATATATGTGCACCAAAATATAAACTAAATAGCATTGAAGGAGAGCTTTCTAATCAAACTAAAAGCTTTCTAGTTTTTAAGCATTAACAGAAGAGTTCCATTCTTTTCTAGAAATAAAAAATACAGGAAAATATATATATAGTTCATAAAGTATCCAGCAGGAGTATTTCTCTTAAAACAACCAGCCAAAATTTTAACCAGCCTTAAAGTAACCAACACATTCAATATTAGCTAAAAACAATATAGCTGATATATTACATGGAAACGGTTAGACAGAGAAAGTACTTTATTTTCACCATTCTGGGGCTAGCTCTGAGATATATAAATATAGTAACTGGTTAAAATTAATGCAGTATATCAGTTTAATACCCCCAAAGCTTTTCAAGTGAACTTAGAGTGGATGCAGATAAAAATATTCAGACATTAACTTTTGCAGAAGTAGAAACTGGGACTATTCAACCACTGCTGACACCAAACCCTTGAGCTACCTGCTAAATCAAATCCCCCGTCGTCTTCTGTATCAAAGTAGGGATGTGTGTATACGATTCCACATTTACAAGGTAAGTGCCCCTTTTTCAAGGAGATGTAAAATCCAGCTCAGTTAACTTGAAGAGCAATGACCTGTAGCAGCAGAATTTATCTTCTCAAACTTAGACAGAGATGTGAAAAACTAAAAGGCAAAGAAAGACTTTGCAGAGTTGAGATGAGTGCATGGTAGAGAGATGCTAAAGGGGTCTTGGAGAAAACGAGCTTCAATGAGAGTGAGTCATAGTTGATGAATACAGTAGGTTTAAAGGCATATTTTTGGTTTCTTAGAAGAAAAGCATGCATACATACATGTCATGTCAGTAATAGATACAGATGGTCCTTCCATTTCTTGCATTTGAGTGTTTATACTGATCTGGTACTGGCTGCTGGGTGTGAGCTCATAGAAACAGTGGTGTGAAGCTGAACCTCCCAGGGTTAGTTCTTGTCTCTGACCATCTGAAGGCAGAAAAAGTGAAAGAAATGATTAAAACTCAGATGAAGATATTTTGCAAGAAATAAACCTAAACCTTGTCCTGGATTATGTTTAAAACTGGAAGGCAAAACCCGTTAAGGTAACCTGATGAGGCAGCAACCCTTGTAGGTTGACTACAGACTAAAAACAATAAGTGGATAAAAAAAAACAATTGAAAAAGACCCTCAGTGCATACTGTTTCACACCATGTATCTTAAATTATTTATTATTTTTTTGTAAAAGTTTTGTGAGATCTTAATTTTTCTTTTAAAAGATGCTCAATCCCCGATAAGTTAAAATTAGTCAATTCTGATATGCATAAAAGCCCCTCAACAATAGGGTACACAATCCTTTGGGGAAGACTTATCCACTGTTATTTTGAGGCTGGATTAAATAATGAACACATTTAAATCTGTGCTTGGCAGAAGATCATAACTGCTGTCAAGCCAGCATCACCATCGAAAATAATGTTTAAGTCTGTCCTCACAGGGTTTTGTAAACAGTGTGAATAAATTACAGCAGTAAAACTAGCATGGACAGATTAAATAGCTATTTTAACCCCTTTGATTATTTGAATACGAAAGTGAAACACTGTTTTTACTAACATACCATTGTCATCTCTGCTCCTAAAGTACTGTATGAAATGAATAAAAGTTATAGAAGTGATAAGGGCCATAGAACAAAACAATTTACCATTGTGTGTCCTTGTTCTAAAAGAAAAACTCTGACCAGTGCATCGCTATTCATAAACTAAAATTGCAACCTAATCCTTCTGCTCTTTTCATTTTAAGAAGGTCAACATTTTACAATAACCATCATAAACATGATAATGTTTGATAATCATTTTTAAACTCCATCTAAACCATTCATAAAAGGTAAACTTACTGATATATATTGCCCAACCATGTAAGTTGATCCCTAAACCTAACATTGGTGGGCTTTCTGCCTACTCCTACTTCTGACTTTGATTTATATGGAGCTGCCATGTTAGTTGAACCCTAACCCTATCATCAGTGGACTTTATATATGACTTAGTTACCTTTTATAAATGGTTTAGATGCAGATATTTATATATATTAATCAAACATTACTAAACTATCTGTTAATGATTAATAAATGGACTATTTACCATTTATAAATGATGGTTTTCATGATTATTTTCAAGTGTAACTGTGAGAAGTAAACTTGTGACTCAGCCTTGTCCAGGCAGGAGGGAGAGAAAGGGATAAATTATGATAATAAATATTAAGATTTCCTTTCATGATGTAGCATGATGTTTGTCCAAAACAAGTGGCTCATTATTCTAGTGCTCTCTAAAGCTGCAGTAATATCTAAAATCATTGCTGTGAAATATGCTGTAATATACGGTATCATGGCAATAGCAGAAGTATTTATACCTTATTATTTTTTTATATTTTCTCATTGCATCAAGTTAAATTTAACTTAATTGAATTTTATGTAACTGACCAATATAAAATATCACCAAATAGACTATGGTAAGGTAAATGACACATAGCTTACAAATAGAAATCAGAACATTGTGAAGTAACACTTTGTAAAACAACCATTTTGTGCTCTAATGCAGTTGAAAGTCTCCTAGGTTATGGCTCTGCCCAAATGGCATGTCAAGAAAAAGCTAAGTCGAACTGGATGTGAGGTGTCCAGCAATTTTATAACTATGGGTTCTTAATTTGATTTAGGTGTGGGATTTGAATAAGACAAAGATGCGTTATCTAAATCTTTCCATTGTAGCTCTCCCCGAGTATTTAGGTTTAACTATGACATGTTAAACTCTCCCTTCCAAAAACAGCATCGTCATAGCAGTAATGTGCAATTTTCCTTTCCTTTTCTTCCAAGCCTACTGTTTAGCATCAAAAAAACGTTCAGTTTTCTTCTTATCCGAAAAGAGCACCTTCTATTTTATTGTTTCCTGCATGTAAACGTTAAACAGGCCTTCAACATTCAAATATATACGTCTTGGCTATATAAAGTAATTGATGTTAGCGGTAATTAGTTTTTTAATTGAATCCTGAGTTCCGGCTTTGGGTGGTCTCATTTAGTACAGGTTTGCAGACTCATACTGTAGGTGTAGGATCTGCTGTAGCATGTCTGCAGCATCAGTAACATGTTGAGAAACTGCTATTGTTCTTTATAGGTTTACAGCACTTTTATAAACAGAAAAGTTAATAAAAACAGTTTCAGAGGTCAACTCTCTACGGTAGAGAAACATATAATAAAGACTGTAAAATTCTACTCATGGTCATTAAAATGCTTGTTTAATCATTTGTCATAAAAACAATATGCACAAATGAAGGAACCATGATTTGTGTTAAAAAAAATAAGACTTCATTAAGAAGCATTGTGCTAGTTTGGTACAGTGCAGATACAGTCTTGTAGCACAGATGGTGGTCTTCACACCTTATCACCATATGAGACAAAGTTGGCTCAGATGGAAAGTCTGTTGAGGTATTTACCTAGAGGAACTATTATAGTATATTATCAGAAATTAGAGGCTGTACGATTAGGAACGACTGACTTTAACTCAGACATTTTTTCTTTAGCTTTAGGTGAGTTGGGATCAAAATTAATCTCTCATTAATGGATGTCAAAATAATCGGGGAGAGAACTTGATAAACAGTGTTTTACTACTGTCAAAGTAGAATTTCACATAAAGCAAGATAATTTGGTGGGTGTAAAGAAATCAGTCAATATTTCAGGCAGAGAACTCTGGCCATTATTCCCAAAGCAACATTAATTATTATTATTTAATTTGTATTTTTTGGAGCCTTAACCAGGCATCTGATCAAACCTGAAGTGTTTGGCCATAATAACCAATGTTACATTGGGATGAAAAGGTATTAAATAAGATTAATTTTCTGTGTCTTGTTAAGAGTAAACTTAGACGAGACATATCACGTGTGTTTTGAATTTTCTGCCCTGGGTTTATTTTATTTGCTTATTTTGGTTTCAAGTTTCATGGTTCTTGTGCTTTTTTTGCACATTTTTTATGGTTTATGTTTATGTTCACTCTTGTGCTAAATCAGGCTTTGTTGAAGTTGTTTCCGTCTTCATCACATTTTATCTCTATAGCCAGCCTCTTAGTCACTGCTAGCCTCCAGCCTCCCATCTGTCTCCATTCAGTCACTGAGACTCTAAAGTTTTTTAAACTTTTCAAGGGATCACATCTCAGGAGGTAGGATTTTTGTTTTGTAACTAGTGGGTTGCCGGTTTGAGCCTTGTGTCCTCAGGCAAGTCCTCAGGCAAGTAACTTCACCTGCCTTGCAGGCAAATGGACAAGCCCTAACATGTATGGTAGCCTCACTTCAATCAGTCTGCCTACAGTGTAGCTTGCCACTATCAGTGTGTGAATATATCCATTTGTCTAAGTCAAATAGAAATATCATCTTAAAAAAGGAATTCCTAAAAATCATTTTGTACACACGGTTGTATAGAAGCAGACACTGGTTTGCACAAGACACATTAATATGGACACATAAGAAAGGTATAACCTCATAATGCTTAATGATTGAGAAAATATGTCTCTTTTTACACTAATGTTAATCAACAAAAAGATTTTTGCAGCTTATAGTCAAAAGCTAGACATTTAAATATGTTTAAAAACCTTTTAATTCATCAAATAAGCTGAATTTCCATTGGAAATTCTTACTTTCTATCATAAGTAAACATTTACTGAATTGAAACTAGTTGTTACAGATATCCATAGGTTGATTAAGCCAGTGCAATGACAATTAATTTCATCCAGTTACAGAACCTTTACTAAGAGAATTCTCTAAAGTCTTCCTCCTACCTCCAGTTGCTAATTTTCAACTACCAGTTGACATTTTTACTCTGCATGCAGCGAAAACCTTTCTAAAGGTTAGAAACAAAAAGGTTTTTTATCCCCAAGAAAAAGATAGCTAAATCCTTTTTTTAAACTAATTATATAATGTATAAGGTTTCTTACACATTCATTAAAATATATTTGTTTCGTAGTTTCAGTTTCATCTAAATAAAAAAAGATAAAACAAACATTCTAATACTGAAAAGCAGAGAGCTTTCAAAAAGCTGGTAAACTAACAGAGGTAAGCATACTTACTGAGGGTGGACTGTATGGAGAGCCGATATGAGGTGGCGTGTAGAAGAGGCTGCCACTGAACACACATGCTCTTAGGATGCACCTGATAGGTCGACAGGCCAGAAACACCAAGGAACACTGGAGTGAAAAACAGAGATAAATTCGACATGCACCTTTAAACTTCTGGGAGGAAAGATGTGAATCTCTTACACACAGACTTGGACCAGTTAATGATAAATAACTTTTCCTACCTGCGATAAAACAGAAAAAGCAAAACAATACATACGTTTATGATAAGCTGATGGTCTACTTGATAAAATGGTAGCAATTGGTTTGCAATACTTAGCAAGGAAGTAATTTGATTATGGCATTTTACAAGCCTGGATAAGAACAGGAACATTTTACAGCCTTTTCTTAGGTTGTATCCATCAATTCCTCGCGCCTGTCCATCAGTGTTCATTTAAATGTCTAAATTCATTCATAACTTTATAGTGCTACACAACAAAGGTTTCAGAAATGTGGAATTTAGAGTAATCGAATATATGACATTTTTACAGTACTATGAATATAAATGCTTGAATGTCACTGTCCTTTTCTCTATTTACACAATCAGAAATTAGGGGTTGTCAGGTCCAATTGACCTTGGTTGCATTTTTTTACAGCTAGAAATTGTATGCAACTCAAAAAAAAATTTAACTATTCAAACTGTAATACATTAATCAAGGAGGAACAGCTTGCACTTACTCTCTTTGCTCTTTTGACATACATAGGTGCAGTTCCTACATTAGTTCTCCTATAAATCCCTTCGTCATGTCTGTTAACCCTTTAGCAAATATTTATCAGCCAACCACTGCATCTTATTCTTTAAATATTGCTTTACCTTGTACCTTCAACACTATATGTTGGCTTAATTTTCCTCCACATCCAGTTTATATTCTACAGCCTTTATCTGTCAGTGTTTATACTAGGTGTTATGCAGCTCTGAAGTCTGACATGCATTTGAAGGATGAAACGAAGAAAAAGACAAGTCATATACAGTATAATGTGCATCTAAATTATCTGATTCAAAGGCCTCTTTAAATAAGATGCAGTGAAAAAAATCTACTTTTATGCAGCACAGAACTTTGTTACCTCACAAAATTAACCTAACAGACAACCTTTTCCAGAATCTCTTAAAACTGACAAGTATGGTAAGGTGTGGCCTACCCCTCATTTACTGAAAATAAGATTTAACTTCTTAAGCTGTTTCCTAGTAATTATAATATTGTTAATTTTCATTTTAAAAGTTAGTTTTCTCGCTGTAAGCATAAAGCAGATGTCATGTCAACGGTAAAAGCCAGAATTTATTTTTCAAATTATTGAAAATTGTATTTTCTCAGACATTTAAGGTATTACTATAACACTTTTAAGCTAATGCCAGGTGGCTTTTGTATTTTTCTTCTAACACAAGAAAAGGCCTCCCATTTTGAGCCCATTATGGCAATGGTAACAGCCTCATGATCTGGCTTACAGTTTTCGAAGATAAATGAGGCCTGTGGTGAGTTGGGTATTGCTAACAGATGGTTAAGTTGTCAAAATATATTTGAGGTTTTTTTTTTTTTTTACGAGTTCAGAGGTAGTCCTGTAGTAACAGTTTTTTGCTCTTTACAATTTCTCATTGCTACACGGCTGTTCCTTGTTTTTCAGAAAACCTTCCTCCTAGCATTTGATCCTTTCCATCTTCCTCCTTAAGCTTTTCTTGTTTTTCTACTATTTTAACACCTTTCGATTTTTTTTCTGTGGTGCTGTAATACAATTCTGCTTAGTTCATTCTGAGGTTAGTGTCATAACTAGATATTTTTCATCATGCAACTGACCGTTCCACATTTATTGACAAAAAAATTAACCCATAAGCAACAACATTGAAATACAAAAAATACATAATATACAATGCATTTAACTTTTAAAGTGAATTTTTACAGTAGTCATACTATACAACCAAATGGGTGGTAAAAAAAAAAACAACAACCTTGTAGGCTCCTCTGATATTGATAAAGTCACACACCTTTTAGCATGTATGTAAATTAAATGTTCATGTGTTTACTTTAATCTTAACTTAATTACATGATAAAGAAATTATGGAATTGCTTCCGATTAAATAACTTAACAGGAGAAATGAATCACATTAATAGTGTGTGCAATTGGAGAGATTAATAAACATAAGAGTGGACAATGATTACATGTTAAACAGCTCATAAAGGCTTATGGTTAATATATGGCTCACGCCAAATAAAATCATAAAGCATGTATTCATATTAATACTGCATAGTTAGTAAGTAATGTAAATGGCTAAATTTGACTTCTGAGATTATAGTTTAAGTTTTACTAAATGTATTGTTCAACCTTTAATTCTTTCTCAGTTTGGAGAGCACTTAACACTTTCTTACTTTTTTAAAAGATATAAAAAAAATATGGAAACTGGATTTGCCACAGACCAAAGTGCTTTCTAAGATGAAAATACATTTATGTTTCTTAAAAAGCTACAGCGTCTCAATAAAGTTATTTTCTATGTTGCATGTTACTGAGAGTAATTTATTTGGAGCAAACAAGTCTTTTGGCTTTCATTGTTTCCAAGATTTAATTGTAGTGAGAGCACTCAGGGGAAATATATTACAACACCCATATTACCACACTGCAAAGTGAATAATAAATTAGTTCCTCCCATGAATTGTAACCAATACCTGTGTAACATGAGCAGATCTAATACGTCTGAGAATATAGCACAGCACAGAGAACTGATTGCATTCAGAGGATACGCATTTAGCATTGTGTTGCTGCCAGATATGATAAACAAATCAGAAAGTGATGTAAATACATGTGCAGACAGATGTATGAGGAGTCAAAAATTGGATATGATTTTAAAAACAAGACAATAAACAAAATAAACAAAGATAAGCTAAAACAACAACAAAATTGTGGTTATAGTTTTACACTGGGAGGGCTGAAAGGGAAAATCAGTGAGACATAAATGCATGATGTATGAAATGCAGTAATGTGCGTACATTATCTTTTTATCAAATATCTTACCATTTCATGAATTTTTCATCTCTTTGTTTTAGACGAGACTAAACCACTGATATGCAAAATCTATATGCAAAAAGGGATTGTTCTCAATTTCGGAAAAGAAAATATCAATAACCTTCTGCTACTCTGCCGGTTTGCAAAAGTTTCAATGGGAATTAGTGTGCATGATATAAGAAGGCAATTAATATGCATGTTACATTCATACTTTTCTAAAATGGCCCTGCTCTTTTTGCAACAGCCTCCATCATGGTAATGCTCTCAGAAATGTTGCCTAAATTCAATTTAAAAATATGTCGGTGACTTTTTATCCGTTCAATATTGATCCCACCTAAAACTAAAATATCTGCTGTATCACAAAATTGCCTCATATTAGCTTCTCTGTTTCAAAAAGTGCTTAGAGTTGTACTAATCATCTATACCCCTTAAAGATTTGTTTTTTATTTTGACATGCAGTATTAAAATCAACTTCAATTGATTTTTTTGTTTTGAATTTGAGAGACAGGCAAAATAAAAGTTGAGTAACTCTTGAACTTGTTTTTTAAAAGGTTTCATATTCATTACTCAGCTTGAAGCTGGGAATTTTTTCTTTAGTTTGGGCAAGAAGGCTGGTCAGCACTGAGGGAAGGATGAATGAAGGTTAAGGCAAGGGATTCCTCATCATAAATCTTAAGATGCAACAGATTTGAGACTGTAGTGGAGGGTTTACCTTCATGTAGAACAACACTAACAAGAGCCAGAGAAAATAGAATGGTTTAAATCCAACACATTCATGTCAGAGAAAAGATATACCGTATTTTCACGACCATAAGGCGCACCGTACTAAAAGGCGCAGTCTCAGTTATGTGTCCCATTTCTGTATTTAACACACACATAAGGCGCACCGGACTATAGGGCGCGTTTTTTATATACAGGTACATGTCCTCTACTACCTTTAAATACCTCTACTGCGAATTTAAAAATACAGTGGGGGCAAAACTGAGTATGACTGTGCTTTATTCATGTATTTATTACAAAGTATTAATCAAACCTGGGAGCTGGCCGTGAGACAGACACATCGCAGATGACACAGCGCTGTGATCACTCCTAAATTAACTTAAAATCCTGAAACCTGCCGACGGAATATGTTCGCTTTTATTGCCGGTATCCTGGTGCCTGCAGCTAAAATTATTTAGATGAAAAACACCTGCCAGCCACCGCGGTGAACCCGGAGGCTGCCCGGCCTAGAGGCTGCTGATGAAGGGATTTCTACCGTCGGTGCACCGCTGGTATGTGGGGGTCTGAGCGCCTCCGACAGAAATAGTATATGCAGGATAATAATCTGGATGAAATGACTGCAATTATTAAGTTTTCAGGTGGACTTTCTCACTTAAAAAGATATTAAAACTACTTTATTCCCATTGATCACAGCAAATATAGCTGCAAGATTTAGATGAAAAACACCTGCCAGTCGCCGAGGTGAACCCGGAGGAGACCCGGCCCAGAGGCTGCTGTTGAATTAAGTTTTCAGGTAGAAAAATAGAGCGGAGCAAAACTGAGTATGTTTGTGCTTTATTCATGTATTTATTACAAAGTATTAATCAAACCCATCAAAGTCATCATCCTCTGTTTCTGAATTAAACCGCTGCGCTAAAGCAGACATGCCAATTTCCCCTTCTTCGCTGTCAGAGTCACTTTCCGTGCCGGGCGGCTCCTCAGAAATAATGCCGGCTTTTGCGAAAGCTTGAACAACAGTGCCAGCAGACACGTTAGTCCAAGCATCAACAATCCATCCGCAAACGTTTGGCGTAACTTGCCCGGCGCTGCCTTCCACTTTTCGTGAAACTGTGGTCTCCGTCTGTCATCTATTACTCCCACGCCGCTCGCAGCCTTACTTTGAACGGCCGCTTCACACCGATGTCGAGCGGTGGAAGTTCCTTTGTCAGACCCCCGGGATAACGGCGAGCACAGCGTTTATTTTTTTTCACCATGTTTTTCACATCAGCTGTGAGATGGGCACGCATGGAGTCACATATTAAAAGCGATGGTGATGCGTGGAAAAAACCACCTGGTCTCCTCACATACACCTGCCTCAGCCACTCTTTCATCATCTCCTCATCCATCCAGCCCTTTTCATTTGCGTTAATATCATGTGTCATCAGAGCGATGTGTCTGTCTCGCTGTCAGCTCCCAGATCAGCTTCTCTGATTCGTTGATGTGGCGCTTCCAGCAGCAAAACTTCAATTTATCCATCTCGAGCAGCAGCAGCGCGTTGGCGGCGCGCTCCCGACGCGCTGCGCCTGCTGCTCAAAACGCGCTGCGGGATCTTTTACTGCACCTATAGCGCGTCAACTGTTGACTTTGCATGTAAACTCGCTGCTTCTGCTGCACCTGCTGCGTGCGGTTCACAGTGAGCACAGCATTAATTTGTTTCACCATGTTTTTCACATCAGCTGTGAGATGGGCATGCATGTAGTCAGATTAACATCGATGGTGTGGTGATGAGTGGAAAAAAACCCACCTGGTCTCCTTACATTCAGCCACTCTTTCATCATCTCCTCAATGAGGTGGTCTCAAAAGTCGCAGTTGCAACACACATAGGGCGCACCGCACCAAAGGGCGCACCGCACATTTTGAGGGAAAAAAAAGACGTTTATGTGCGCCTTATAGTCGTGAAAATATGGTAAATCTGATAAAAAATCTGTACCAAAAACTGCAAAGCTATTAAATAAGTATCCATAAAATATCTATCAGTCTTCTTCTGCAAAAGGCAAGGTCAGATCCTGGGGGTAGCAGCCTAAGTAGGGAGACCCAGACTAAATCACGAGCTTCGGCTTTTGACTCAGCTCTCTCTTCATCAAGACAGACAGATACAATGACCGTCTCACTGTAGTTGCCCTCCTGCTCCATTCTTCCCTCATTCCCTCACAAAAACAAGCCACTAGTGCTGCAAAAGCTTGAAAAAAAAAAAAGAAATTAAATAAATAAATTTAACTTAATTCTAACACTTTATTACAACCACCTTATTTGTGCTTGTGCATTAATGTGAATATTGTTCAGGTAGAAATAGAGTGGCTGATAAATTATCTGTACTTATTTATTAACTTTTCAGGTCAGAGGACTCCAAAGCTTGCACTACATTCAGTCACTCATCCGTTAGCATACACATTCCAATTTAAAGAGTTTTAGTACAGATTGACCAGTCTTGGGGGCAACATGTTAATTGTAATACAAACTAATTTGTGAAATTCAGTCTGAGTGATTTTCATGTAGTTGGAAAAAATGTTTTTCTTAGGAAAAATTAGAATTTCTGTGGTGTGTATATAACCAATGCTTACATGTCTTTGCATTAACGAGTTCCGGTTCACTTGGTCCTGCTGAGTAGAAGGCCGTCACTTGGACAGTGTACTCTGTCCCACTCAAAAGATTGAGAAGGACAACGGAGGTCACATCTTCACCTACAGTTGTCTCCGAAAGTGGACCTTGATCTAAAGAAAAAAAAACAAAAGCAAATAACTACATAAACAAAGGCAGAGCAGAAACGAATCTCCCACAGAAAAATGTACTTTATAGATTCCTGAATGTATAAAAATACTATATAAATATATATATAAATATAAATATATAAATCCAAAGCACTCTATATGGTGTGAACGAAAGGAAATATTACGAATTTTAATCATGGAAAAGAAGAGTTTAACACCTAGAATAAATATATGAGTCACAAAAGACAAATACATCAGAATATGAATGGGACCAACCATCTAAAGAACTTCCAAAAGCAGTAAAATCATAGGCAAATACCAGGCTAAATAGCAGACCTTCAAATCCTCTTTTTGAAAGGATCCAGTGAGTCAGCAAAAACAACCCTGGGGGCATGTTGACGCAATGCTCCAGGGTCACAATTTGAAAGGCTTGATCAAATTTTATTATCTTTTTTGCTTGCTTAATAGCTGATGAGGTTTGATTCTTAAAAAAATTAGCAAGCAACTAAAAATTTTTTTTCCCTAAGTTTCTGTGCCAGCACCAGACTATTATGTACTTTTTTACATTTTAAAATAACCCCAAGATGAAATAATTGAATTCAAAACAGGAGTTATATGCACATGCTTTTGCAAATGTGTTAATAAACAGGCTGCAGAATAGCTAAGGTGGAAAACAAGTCGCATCATTTTCTGGATTAGAGGAGAGAGAACACAAGTTGGACAACTATATAGAATATACTGATTAGAGGATGGATTTAAAATATAAAAAATAAGACTAGGTTGAAATTTAAAAAAATACTGCCAATGTTACGAATCTTGGACTTTGTAGGCATAAAGAAAGAGATAATTTCTTGGATAATGTGTAAGAATATTTCAGCAGGGGATATTCTCAATGTTTATTTTCTGTTTGAAATTAAATGAAGTCAATTATAAGCCAGTTCTTTAATAGTGGATTGCTTTCAGTAGCTGTGCTCATCATTTAAGTCACAGCATTGTGGTTTAGCAAGAAATAGAAAAGGTATTTCTTTGCCTCTTGAGAAATGAATGCCAGAATTATAAAACTCCTGGGGAAACCTGTGTGACTCCTTAAAAAAAAAAAAAAACTTGCTAAAATTAATGAGTTACAGCTATTATGTTAACAACAGGCAGTTGAGCAATTCTAATGAGATATAGAATGGTTATGTCTCTGCCAACACACCAAGAATTTTTTATTCAGTTTAATATGCTCTAACTGCATAATGTGGGAGAATTAGGTCTTAGACCTGTCTTTTTTTCCCACTCATCTTTCCGATGATAAACTTTATGTAACATGTTTGCCTTGAGCTGGTCCTCTGTCACACAATAGCTGTTTTTAGGTTAGAAACTGTAAAACACTACATCCATGCCTCGGTAAAGCAACTGACACCAAGATGCAAGGCAGATCCAATAAATTGGGCATTTAATGAGGTTTCTAGAAAAGAAATAAATGAGTAGGTAAGATGTCTCTATTTCAGTGCTACACTGCTGGGGCTTTTCTTTAAGCTTTAAGCTGTTTTTTGTTTTTGATTCTTCCTCTCTGTCCATCTGCGTGGACATGCTTTTGTTACATTAAGAGGATTGTGCAATCCTATTGTGTCATTTTTTTGTTAAATACAGTATGCTCCATTGTGGGGGCTTCTAGATATTTATGGGGCCATTCCACTGGTTCCCACAAGGAACGGTTTTCTTCTTTGATTTAGGGTTAGGTCTAAAGTCCGAATTCAGATTAGGTTAGGGTTAAGTATATGTTGGTAAAGTCATGGTTAGGATAAGGGTCTGGGTTAGGTCAGAGAAATGAATAGAAGTCAATGATAAGCCCCCACAAAACATGAAAGGCTAGTGTGAGTGGCTAACCATACACTTACACTGGGTGTAAGTCAGTCTGGCACGGCTTAGGGTCTCCAGTCAAAAACAGACTGGACAAATCATAGCATGGGATGGGGGGGTTTTTGTCAGAATTACCCATAATGCAACAGTGCTTTCTTGTAACTAGAACAGTCAAGATTGTAGTGGCAACAGAGCAATTTTACCTCGCGAAGGAGCTGGATATACCTTTAAAATAAAAAAACTAGCTGCTGTAAGTGTTTTTAGAGATTTATTGAGCTTTAAGAGCTTTTCTTGTTAAAAGGGATAACTTACATAGACTTATATCTGTTGTTATTTGATTGGTTCTGACCTGTTTGCTCTGATTCTGTCAGTCCTGCCTTTGAAATCAGGCTCTACATGCTCCTTGGCAGACTGATACACTTTGTAAAGGGCATAAGTCAATCCAGCTGGCCAGGCTAAGTGTTAGGTATCCATTTGTAATGGTTAGGGTTAGAGTTATTGTGAATGATAAACATATAATGGGTTGAAAGTTACTTAAAATCATTAGAAGTCAATGCAAGACAACAAATGTTCATTACTAAGGATAGCAAAATGAGAATGTATATGTGTGCGGGTTTATGCATGTATACCATAGACGGGTCGATAGACAATCCTGTAACCTTCTGTTGGAGACTGAGGCGGATCCCAGGAGACCAGGAAGCGGTTATACGACTCTTCTGACACGCGTAGATTTTCAGGAGGCAAGAGAGGCACTACCAAAATAACAACAAAAAAGATACCTTTAATGGCATACTAGGGAGGTCAGCATGGTTTCTGATTGTACACAGTTGGACTTTGTGCTGAAGGTGATCAAAAAGTCCCTAAAAATTTATTTTACTGAGTCTTTGAACATACCTATATGAAAAATAAGTTCTTATTTTCTAGTCGAAAACATTATTCAATTTTAAATATTTCAAAGGTTTTTTAACAAAGGAATATTTAATGGGACATTTCCAGAGAGAAAATATGCAAAGGTAAGCAATGATTCTCAGGTAGCTGATGTTTGCTGGTGTGAATTTGTGGCTTCAGCAAAGGAGAAAATAGGTTGTTGGATTTCTTATATTATTTGCAGAAGGGCTGAAAAACGGTATTCTTAAGTGTCATATAACTAGAGGGTGTGGGTGGAGAATGGCAAAAGAAGAACATTCTAAGTTGTTTTGCTGACATAAATAATTTCCTTCTGACACAAACACAGCAAGGCTTCAAATAATAACTACAATGATGTTAAACTTTCCAGTCTCTCGATTTAAAGTGATTTTAACCCTCAAAGTGTTTTCAAATAATATGTCAATGCTCTCATTTAATATTAAAGCCTGAGACTACAAATGTTATATTTAATTTATGATTGATTATGGCACCCTAATCTTTAAAGATGGCATGTTTAATGTGACATTTGATTTCACAGTATAACAAAGAAACAATCAGTGTTTAAAATATGATGGATAATGGTAAAGGAAATCAACTGAACTAATTCAATTATTTTATTATTATAGAATCTCCTTCAACAATAAGGCATCCTTATTAAGACAATTAGGATAGCATCAGTATTTCTCAATGTAATTCATTTTCTCCACCAGGCACAGAAATTACCATCAATTTTATACACAGTAACTTTCTGCTTAGGGAAAATAAATTCTGAATCAGGATGTTCTCAGAAACCAAAACCCACATCGTTTTTTGTACAGAAAAACCTTGAAATAACTTCACTGGTCAATTAAAAGCTTGTATGAAAATAAAACTTGATCTAAAAAAGAAAAAAGAAAAGAAAGAAAAGAAAATAATTACTTCAGAGGTAAGCTGTTTTACTATACTACAAAAATCATATTATTTATGTATCAAAAACTGTTTATTCAACAGTATTTACAAACAGTAACATTGATATTGGCACTTTTTAAGGTTAAAAAAACTCCACATTTTTACAGTTCTACAACAAATAATTGGACAGGTCTGATTATTCAGATTCTGCATGATTAGGGAATGCTTGCAACATTTAACTAGCTCTTTCACCAAGAAAAGAGCTGTGAGCTGAAACATTAAAACTGATAACAAAACATTCATTTAATGTATTTTATTTGCCGAGGAGGGAGACTGTGACACTCTTACATGAAAACATGTAACAGCACTAATAGAAATGGACCAAATTATGGCTAATTTTTTTATTGGTTGTCACACATAAAAATATCAAAGTGAAAGAAAAAAACGGCTTGATAAAATGCATCACAAAAGAAACAGGGAAAGAAAATTTCAAAATTTCAGTCATGAAATGACATATTGTCATGTTAAAATTGTCAGTGGCTGATGCCATTCATTAACAGGTAATGGCAGAACTAGCTTTTTGCTTTGTGGGTTAGACTTTTAATTGACTGGAAATCTGCAGCAGACTTCACCTCTGCTGAATCAGGTTCTCTTAACGTCAAAGTCCAGTAAAAGGAAGTTGTAAGTTTGTCCCCGTCTGCTGTAGGCATCTCAGCATGTCTGAACATGTCACCATTTGGTCTACTATGTGCTCACTGTGGGAGGTCCCCATAAAGAAGCAGCAAAAACAGGTGGTTGGAGGCACTTACTAACATTGTTAAAATGGCTTAATCAAATATTATGCTTACAGTATACCAAAAGAACAAAAAAACATATATTCCTGATGAAATAAAGCAATATACTTAGGATTTCCTACAAGCGCATTCACGAGTCTACAGAAACCGCGGCAGACCAAACCAGATGAAAGTGCGCATTCAGCTCGGCAAAGAACTCAAGCTCTTCCTCAACACCGAAGTCCTCAGACATTTTTCCTTCGTTGTTTCTTTCTTTGCACAGGTAAACAGCACATTTCTTCTTCTACGCTTGCATTATCGGCAGAGCAGACGCTGAATGCGCACTTTCATCTGGTTTGGTCTGCCGCGGTTTCCGTAGACTCGTGAACGCGCTTTTAGGAAATCCTATACACTACTGTTTATGCTCTAAAAACATTCTAAATGACTTCGTTTCGAGTAAATTATGGACGCTACCCACTCAGGACACTAGGAATACATTGGACGAGCAGTATGGAGGAATATTGACACGTTTTTTGTGGACTTTTATGGACCTTTCTGCCTCGGGCGCCATAGACCTCCATTATTTGAATGTCAGCAGACAGCAAGAAGCCTCCCAGATCTCCAGATGCATTTGAAACATCAAAAAAGTACTCCAGAGTGTTGTTCAGCATGGGGGTGAGTAGAAAATGAAGGCTAATCATGTTTTGGGTGTACTATTCCTTTAATCCCGAAAATACTGTTTACACTAAGCTTTCAACTTCTTTGCTCACCATCATTTCAATCTAAAAAACTCACACGAAGAGAAAAGACAATTAGGAGAAATTTATTGATACTAGTGCTGTCAATCGATTAAATTTTTTAATCGCGATTAATCGCATCAATGCCTGAGTTAACTCGCGATTAATCGCATTTTAATCGCACATTTTTTTTCTGATTGAAAATCATTTAAATACTCTCGATGACATACAAAAAAATACATACAGGCTAGGTTTGTGCCAATGTTCTTTTTTTAAAATGAAAACAGGTCACAGATACTGATTTATGCCATAGAAACATATGGCAAGAAGATGGGGAGGCATGTAGCAAAAAATAACAAATATGTAGGCAAAAAAAAGGCCCTGAAAACAGGCTGATGTAAAAGACAGTCTTTACAGTTAATACAGTCTTTTGAACAAAGACAAGCATTTTACCCTACTGCTATAAAATTTAGTAGAGTTAACATTAGATGTTAATTAACCAAGGTAATAATGAACAATTTTCAATCAATACATCAAAATCAATAGACCGACATCACTAGATGAAGGTAGTCTATGCTCTCTAGAAAGTTACTTTTCAGCCTCTTAACAAAAATGAGAACACACACACACCCACCCACCCACACACAGACACACCCACCCACACACACACACACGCGATACCGACCTGTTGCGTACAGAGACGGCAAGAGTGCTGCTACGAGATTCCATTTCACCTCAGTAATCAGTTTTCTCAGCGTATTTCAGGTTGCTACTAGTTACCAGACACTCAACTTGTTTGTTGGTGGTGGGGCTTAAAGAAAAGGCACTAGCGTCACCCAGTGTATGAGCGTCTTTTTCCCTTGAGGAGCTCCGCTCTTGAAGCCTATGAGAAATGCATACACTGGGGGAAAATAGCCCCGCCTTCCCGCAGGCTGCAGCGGGATGTACTTGGAAAAATTGTACCATAAAACCACATAGCGTTAATCTCACGTTAAAAAAATTATCGCCGTTAAAATGGCCTTGCGTTAACGCGTTAATAACGCGATAATTTTGACAGCACTAATTGATACGCTTAATTTTGATAGATATGCATGAACAGGAGCAAAGATAGGGCTGTTTTCCCCAGGCCTAAAACTGGTGGTGGAGTGGAGATAGATGAAGTTGGTCGGTCTGTAGACTGCTGGTTAGCGAGACGGTCTGTTGAGCTTTATGGGGAGATCCAGTGGATTGCGTCAGCTGATACTAGAGCTTCACTCAGGGACCTGGAAGATGGAACTCCAGTAGGATAACACAGGTTGAGAGAACCTGTCCATGATGAGCAAGCATGAAGCGACAGTGGAGAGGAAAAACTCCCTGTTGGCAAGAAACCTCTGGCAGAACCAGGCTGAACATGGCGGTCTTCTGCCGGACCAGTTGAGATGAGACAGGGAACGCAGTAAGAGTCCGGGAGGAATGAGGTGGGTTGAAATGGGGTCATCTGAATGAAGTCACACAGCGCAACCACCGCCTGCGCACAGGAGCAGACAAGTGCGGATCTGAGGCCATTTAGGATGAACTTTTCATGCCGATTGGCTTTCTTGGAGGTGTGGTTCAAAGCTGATTGACTGTGTCGCAGGTGGATGTAGGAGAGCAATCAGTTTTTAAACTTCCGCCTACGCCTTTTACATATTTATACTAATCAAACCCAACTTAGGTTATTCTATAATAAACTTCTTTTCAATAGTGTTAATGATTTATGAATTATTTATTAAACTTATTAAAGCACCTAAATTAAAACTTTCACTTTTTTTTTGGCATGAGGATCTGCATAAAATTAGTGGGGGAAAAAAACAAACATATTTTAAAGACTAGTCAAACTTAAATGGAAAATAAAACACAAACGTATTTGCATGAAGATAAATAACAAAATTGTCAGTAAATGTGTGAATTTGTTAAATTCCTTTGAATCAAATAATTAGTATCATGCTGTCTTGGTGTTTTTAAACTACTATTCATCAGTAATACGAGGTTGCTTTTCAGATACAAGAGCTGAACATTTCTCATTAGATCCACAATAACTGCAAAGGTGGACATATTTAAATGTTAAGACACTTAGCTCGTCATGGTATAATGGAAAGTGAGATTAATTAACGGAATGTGCCGGCGGCAGTCTTGATCTGAACTAAATTACACCTTTAGGACACTGAAAAAAGGGGAACAATTGGGCTCTATACTAATAATGATCGCTTAAATAACATGACAAAAAAAAATAAAAAATAGCTGAGCAAGCATATGGGTTTTTACTAGTGAGGTGTGGGCAGGTCTAAGCTGCCGTAAATCTAATGGTAACAAGAGGTGTGCCATCCTAATGTTTAAAAAGGACAAAAAGGATCAAATATGCATTTGCATTTCCATAACCTTACATTTTCTTCACTAAATCTATAAAAGTGCCAATAGATAGAAAACATTCACTATTTCTTGGTTGCAAAGGTTACTTGTCATCTTTTTTATCATGATCATCATCCTCCATCATCATCATTAGTTTCCTAAAGCCGTGATTCAAGGTTTTGGTGATATATGCTGTGCTTGCGATTGTGTGCTTAGTAAATTTAGGCTTACATGTAGAACCCAAGGCGGAAGCGCTGATGCCATCTTGTCCATCACTGTACACTGGCGTCACCGTCACTTTGTACTGTGTGTCTGGTAGTAAATGCTGGAGCACTGCGTTTTTCTGACCACCCCCAACTGAGATCTATTACAGACAAAAGACAAGAAGATAAAGGAGATCTATATTGTAAACCAACTCATTTTGACCCTAACATGCAAATAGTTTTACTCTTAAGTTGCATTATTGAAGCTAAGACCACTCAATTCCAACCTCAAAATAAAAGTTGACTTAGCACAGGAACAAATTTTCTTTCATTTCCATGTTTTTTTTAATAACAACAACAAAAAAATAACGTGCTAAAAACTTTTTTCTCAAACCAAAAAAACAGGGTCAGTACTATGTTAAAAAAAATACAAATACTCCATGCTATTGTACTATGGCATATACCCTGTTTAAAACGCTGTCTGCAAATACCCCCTACAGCACTACTAGTACGCAAATGCAGATCAAAAGCTAATGAGAACTGTGCGACTGTTCACAAGCACTGCTTGTTGTATTAACAACATAAATATATAAGCCTGGGGATATTGTGACTTCATGAAGGGTTACTCTGATAAACTCTTCTATTTATGTTGGGTTTTGATAAAATTACAGTATCAGACAACATGAGATACCATTTCACTGATTTGTCTTTTTAACTTTATAGATGTCACATATTAAACAGACTTTCTGTACCTTTAATGGAGGGGCTAATCGGCTTAGTTATGACTCCAAATAACTTCACTCTCAATAGATGATACACATTTTTGGCTCTTTCTCTTTAAACCCTGTTTCTCCATTATAGGGAGAGCAGAGAAGGAACAATTGCAGCTACTCACTATGGTTTTTTTTCATTGCAAAGATTTTTCTGCTGGTTCTTACAGGCAGTGTGTTTAGCTCTGTACCTCTCCTACATAAAGCTAAATTGAGCTACTGTTTCTATTACACACTTTGTATTTAACATAGGAAGAACTCTAGGCTCTGCTCTATGTTTTGTGTGTGCAATCTGTCTTCTTAAACTCCCAGTCATTATGTCAGAAGGCTCCTCGCAGTGAGTCATTTTCTGCCTGAGGTTTTGTCTTGTATTTTCTAATGTCTCCATATGAATGCTCATATGCAAGCCGGATATTGCTGCAAAGTTGACAACTCATGGAATAAAGGATTGCAGCAGTTTCTGGTTTAGATAAAAATTATATTTATTCGATTAAGCTGTAATTGTATTGGTTTCTAAATAGGATTACATTTACTCTGAATCAAACTTTATGACGGGGTAAAGGCAACTACATACATTTTTGGAATTAAATCAGTTATTCAGTCACATAAGCAAAATAAATACTACTAAATTAGATTGGCTATCTTTTTATATGTTTAGGCTTTAAGCAAATTCAGAGCAAAACAGGGAGGATCAAGCATTTTCTCCACCCAATTCTTGTCCTCTGTTCTGAGCCATGACACTTAACCTTTTACTGAGTGCTCATAAAGCAAACGTAGCAAGAACTGCAGACTTGATGTTTATTGCAAAGTTTTAACTCGTATTTTATTTTCCCAAGGAAATTAGTCCTTTGAGTTTAACCTCTTAAAACCCACCGGGTCGCTGGCGACCCAGTGGACCGTAAGTGGGGGTAATAATTCAGAATGCATAAAATTCCACAGTAAAATATTTACCAGCAGGGAAGCCATTGCGCGCAGCTCCAAGCTGACACCAACAGATCCAAACCCCACAGCTCTGGAACTGTTCATAGCTAGAGGTCTGAAATTTTCTGTATTGATGGTTGAGATGATGTAAAACAAATATAATACAATAAAACCTGCCTTTTCTCAAGAATGTCTTTATTACTGCTGTTCAAAAAAGACCTATCATTTTCAATATAAAAAAAACAACTTTGTGTCATGTTTGAACTGATGCAGGTTGGTCTGTGTTCTATTCACCCAATTTTAATTTATATATTAGGAAACTAGAGGGTGTTAGCTTTCAAATACCGGTAATGTATTGCACATGTAATTTGGGCTTACAGTTCCTAAATTATTTGCTTTTCCATTTGGGTATTCAAAATAGGCAAGGATTACCCAAAATGAGGTGGATGTGAAGAGGTTAAGATGTTCTGATAGAGGGAACAAAAGCTTCCAGAAGTGGGTATTTACAGGGATATACATTCTTCCTTGCCAGTAGGTTAGCAAGTCTCCCATAGCCATACTTGCCAAAAATGTATTCATTTATTCAGAAAATTTGCAGTAAAAACTATGATTCTTATTGCTAATCATACCATAATTTCAGATTGCACCAGGCTAAGGCTGTGGAAGTTCAATTAAGGATTATGTTTGTAGTCACAATAAGTATCTTGAATTTTTTTCAGATTTAATTTTGAAAACTGCCTTGTCTGGATTTTATTACAAAATGTTAAAAATATATCTTGATAGTCTGTGCTAAAACGAGCAAACTTGTTAAGAGCTGATACCTGATGGAACCGGTATTTATCATTTCATAGACAGATTAAAAAATTTTGTCTCATTTTGTTTCACCCTCCGTGTTTTATACTTCCAATTTTTTTATTCCTTTCTTAGCTGCCCTCCATCTGTGCTCCCACTGAGGTAAATGGCTGCAGAAAAGATAATGGGATGTCTTCTGGCTTGGCCTGGCCTCTCCATCTTCTACAACTCTGACACCACATCGGGAAATTAAAAGGAAGAAAGGAGGTGGAGGGTGAGGAGCTAGGAGGGAGAGAATCACAAAACAACATGGAGGCAGGGGGACAGAGGGGGAGGAAGGCCTGTGAGGATGTGTTTGGCCGTGCATTAGTGATCAGGGTCAGTACATGGCACTGAGCTCAAGGGCTCTTCAGGAGGACAGGGGGTTCAAGAGGAGAGGCTGAGTGGACTGCAGCTAGAAGTGTAATCAGTTTTCTGGCTACACTGCATGACCCGGCAGTGATGACTGCAGTGCAATCCAGGAGGCTGGAGGTTTGGAATAACAAAGTTATTCCTCAAGACACTTCTTCAGCATTTTGTGCTTCACATGCTCAGTGTTCAAAATTGTCCTTTTCTCTGTATGCTTCATAAGCATCGGGATCAGTATGATAACGCCCTAAAGGACCAAAGAGTCACTTATTTGGAAATAGCTTTTACAAAGATTGGAAATTATGTAAAACATGAACACGTTGATTGGCCTCAGCAAATGCTCTTTCAGACCAGAATTTGATCTTTATAACTCTTTGTGACAGTAACAGCTCAACACTTGATTGACTTACAGATTCCTCCCCTTGGTCCCCGCTGAGGTCAGAGTAGGAAATCCTGTAGCTCTCCACATTAGGGTCCTCCAGCTCCCAGGATGCGTCTAAGCTTTGGGTGGTCTCATCACTCAGGTAAAGGTTTTTCACAGCCTTACGTGTCACTGTGATATTACAGACAAATACCCTGCTTTTACACATGTAAAGCAGAATGCAAGTGCAAAATAAAATTATAAAACATTGCTTAACATTTTAAAATACATAATAATAAACACATAACATAAGGTTACTTTTTAATAAGTCATGCTTCATGCAAAACGCTCCAATGCCGATAATAGTAATGTGGACCTCCATAATGGTGCAAAACATTTGCTGATTTAAGAGTGTAATTAATGAGTGCAGTCATTTCCAGTATCTTAAGGAATTGCTGATTTTTGCAGTCTTCCAGCCAAAACAACATTCATCATTTGCAAAAAAGTGACAGTCTGCCAAAAGCTGGTCAGAAGTCCCTACTATCTTCAGTAACAACTGCATGTCTCCCAGGAAAAAGTAAACCATTGTTTGTAGCCTATGTGTAAGCTATAAATTACCCTACATTTACAAAATAGATAATTCCTAACCCTAATTAAACATTGTTTCCTAGCACAACATCAGCATTTTCTTTTTTAAAGGGAGAGAAACCTCTACTAAACTATCAAAATTATATTGTTCTATTTGCAAAATTTTCATCTACACCCATAAAGCTTATCAATTTTTGGAACAACTTAGCTATCACTGTTAAATAAAACAAAAGTTGTATATTTTGTTTGGAATTTAGATACCTTAATAGCTATAATGGATACCATCATACCATACAAACCATCACCCCCCTCTTGTTAACCCTCCCCAGCCTCATTTCCTATTTTCAGTCAATTGTCATTTAAGACTCTGTCTTTGAACTTTGAAAGCCAAGGACGTTCTCATTTTTCATGTAAACTACAAAAAAAATCTTTTTCATTCCTTCACCACCTTCACTCCTCTTGCCTCCCTAGGTGGAGTAAGGTACTAATAGTCTTTCTTCACGGTCTCCAAACTTCTCCTGGACCCAAGTTTTTGCATCTGCAACTGCCCAGGCAGTGGCACACATGACATGTTTAGTGTTGGCATTTTACCTAAATATGTAAAACAAAATGTTTTTAAGGGTCAGGTACTTGCAATTTGCAGTCATTCCAGTTAACAAAGAACTAATAATAGTTTAAACTAAGAAAGAAGAAGAAAAAAAAAACATGCAGTCACTTGCTGGTTTACTAGTAAGAACACAGAAACTATTTTCTAAAATAGATCTGTTCTTTCTTTCATTTTATTTATTTCTTTAACAGCAAAAGTGATTCTCATCATTAGTCGAACTCATCCACCCTATGATTGGCTGAAAGGGTGCATCTATCATAGTAATTTTGATTTATTATCTGGCCTTTTTTTCTATTTTCTAACACAGGGCCATATCCCTTGAGCTCAAAGGAAAGATATGACAGTCCTAAAGTTATTCCACTAAATAATGAATAATATAAATGCATATAACTGCACAAGTGTAGAGCTCTATTTGGAGATTGTGTTGTACTTTGTAAACATTAACTTGTACTGGTAGCTATTTTTCATTTGAAGGACACTAGACCTGGGCTACTTTGGTCCAAGTCATGATTAAAACTGGCCAGCCCTTCAGCAAGGATAGTTTCTCCAACTGAGATTTACCTGCTGCCCACTGAACACCTGCTGACTGAATTGATGAAAAGAAAAGCTTATAAAGTGATATATAGCTAAACTATGAAAAAATATGTTACATTGGGTTATCTTATTTTATTTTCAGCTGCTTACTGTCAATACACTGTCACAAGTACAGAGCACAAAATGTACTTTCTGCATCTAACCCATCCCTTTGGGGAGCAGTGGGCTGCCATTGTGCAGTGCCCAGGGAGCAGTGTTGGGTTAAGGGTCTTTGCCCAGAACCTTTGGACTCCAAGTGCAATGCGCTAACCACTAGGTTTTCACTCCTTCAGCATGCCCAACTTTTATTGAAAAAGCTCCCACTCCAGATATTTTACACCAATACACAAATCTTTCTTTCATACTCCTACCTGTGGTTGTGGGTTGAATCGTTGTAGTTGCAGCCACTGGAGAATTAGAGAGTAGAAATCAGACAATGCATTACTGAGTCTGCTAAACAAAGTTCTGTGCCAATTACTTAGTCAATGTGAGAGGAACCTGTAAGATATCATTGTCAGTTAAACTAGATTTCCTTCTAACAAAACACAAAATCAACAAAGCAGAACTCTTAATGTATAACAGCCGGTGATAGGAGTAATGGCGTTACCTTAATTAGTAATCTAACTAATTACTTTGACTGTAACTATAACGCAGTTACCATTGCTGACACCCCGTTAATGCAGGTCACTCAGGTCGCACAATTAACCTTTTTTAATGATAGGACTCGTGCGCGCCTTGTCATGAGAGAGGGGAAGATGAGATTGGCTGATGTAAGTGAGATTACATCTGTCAGTTGGGTAGGTGGGTGTTTCTGCTGGTGGGTGTTAACGTACAGCACACACAGAGAGATGGTGAGTGAGGATGACTCCAGCAGCAAAACAGCGTTTTCCAGATGGAAATACCGGTGTTACGTCGAGCTGCGTTTCCCCATCTGATACGGTTTCCCCTGCATCTCTGCACAGCGCAGGCGGCACGATTCACCGTGCAAGCGACAGGAAACGTGCATGCTCGCTAACAGCCGCCCTGTGCTCGTGCCACAGGGGAACTACGGAGAGCGTGAAGGATGAAATGCTAGCCTATATGGAGAAAGGGAGAAATTGGGATGGATGGATGGATGGATGGATGGATGGATGGATGGATGGATGGATGGATGGATGGATGGATGGATGGATGGATGGATGGATGGATGGATGGATGGATGGATGGATGGATGGATGGATGGATGGATGGATGGATGGATGGATGGATGGATGGATGGATGGATGGATGGATGGATGGATGGATAGATAGATAGATAGATAGATAGATAGATAGATAGATAGATAGATAGATAGATAGATAGATAGATAGATAGATAGATAGATAGATAGATAGATAGATAGATAGATAGATAGATAGATAGATAGATAGATAGATAGATAGATAGATAGATAGATAGATGCAAAACTCTCTGCAGGTACTTGTCCACTCCATTCAGCTGGCTTTTGAAACGGTGTGGTGGTGAGGGTTACGGGGGCGAGAAACGCAAAAGTAACGCAATAGTTACTTTTACTAGTAACTAGTTACTTTTATTGTGGAGTAACTCAGTTAGTAACTCAGTAACTTTTTGGGAGAAGTAACTAGTAACTATAACAAATTACTGTTTTAAAGTAACTTGCCCAACACTGATAACAGCTTGCAATTAAATGAAATTCAGTTCTCTGTCTAAAATTATACAGTAGGGAATAGTTATCAGGCATTGGAGCAGAACGTTTAAGTAATTGAAAAATCAGATTGTTTGACAGTATTGACACTTACATGTGGTTTCTATAACAGAGACTGTGTCACTTTCAGATTCGTCATCAAAGATGGCCGTTAACAGGACTTCATATTCGGTGGAAGGGCTGAGGTCGCTGAGGGTGTATGTGTTTTCATCTCCTCTCAAAATCACCTTAAGTACAGAAGAAAAACAGACAGGGAGGCTTAGCTCATTTTTTATTATTTTTCAGTATACAATAATATGACATTCAATTTAATGACTTTCTTTTAAAATATTTTTCAAACATTTTATTAATTTTGAAGCTGCACATTTTATAATTTGTGAGATTTTACTAACATATTCCATATCATTCAGGTGGAAAGATCCAGATTTTATTATAGTTTAAATTTTTTTTTTTGTCAGACTGATATTAGCCTCTCATGGATGTTTTTTTAACTACTGAGCCAAATTTGGACATCCACCCTTTTTGGGTAGAACTTTAGGGCCCTAAACTTTGCAATGTTCATCTTCATTCAGAAGTTCTGTACTTTATTGCAAATCACTCCAGTGATTGCTGGCAGTGTGACTCTCCCATCAATGGTACACTGGAATTTCTTCTCCAATATGCATGTGATGTCGCAATAATTCTGCTCAAGAAGCGAGACAATCCATAGTATTGGATTCAAAGAAATAAAATCTATTTGAATCAATAAGTAAGAGAAAAAAACAAGGCTGTTTTAGTCCAGTATAGCAAGAACTGATCAGATTCCTATACTGGAGAAACAACTACACAAATGCATGGCACAGCACAGGGGAGTCAGTAACCCTGGGCAAGACTCATCTGTACAGTTGCACCTTAAAGGGGTCATAGAATGCAAAACCAAGTTTACATTGTCATAGATGAATAACAATAGTTCAGTGGGTGAAATGGACGTACAGAAAAGTTCAAACCCCATCAACACCTCCTTTCTATGCAAATCTCATAATTCTAAACTTCCACCATAAAACAGGTGAATTCAAACGAAGACCCGAATTGACGTCAATTTGGGGATGTTGCCTTATTTGGCTCTGGCCTGTACTTTTGTGAAAGCCCTGAACTTGACATACAGACCAGCCCACTGGTTTACTGCACTAAGAACATGAATAGAGGTAGATGTAAGACACCGGTTTAGCTGTTTAGCCTACAGTTGGGTTTACTTCTACAAGAATTACAAAGCAGGCAGTAACTCTATTGAAAATGATTTTTATTTTTTTGTGGTCCAATTATTTTTCTTGTGCTTTTATTTTTCTTCTATTTTATTGTCTAATTCAGGTATAGCACTTTTAATTGTCCACGTACTGAATTGTGCTATACAGACACCAACTGCAATGTCATTTGTCAGTCATATAGACCAACTAAAACTCATAATAATGATTAAAACGAGGAATTTTTTTTAGGGAAACTCCCTTCCTATTGCCTGCACATGAAAATCAATAGACAAAAATGGTTCAGGGCATAAATGAAATCCTTCTCTTTTTGGTTTTTCCAAATATCACCCTGTGGCCTGAAGCTACCATGGACAGTGAACCATATCGCTTCCATCAAACACTGTCCTTGAATGATGAGACAAACAGGACTGTATTCCCCTGCAGAAAGTAGTAAGACACTACAAAGATTTCAAAAATTGAAACCCTGTACACCTTAACAGGAAATAGATAAAAAAATAAATAAAAAAAACATACGTATAGCATTTGAATCAGTGACAAAGCCTCATGTTCTTTAATGCTCCAAGTCCAATTTTTTTATTACTTATTAATTTGGTTATTGTCTGGTTATTGTCTATTCCCTCATAAATAACATATGCATTACCTCTTTGCTGCAATACAATCTAAAGCCTGTTGCTACAACAATGCTGTTACAAGCATCCTGGCATTTCTGATATCAATGAAGAGAAGGTAGACTGTAATACACAAATATTAAATATATGATAAGATCCTGACCTTTTATATTAAGATTTAATTAATGTAGATACATAGGAGCACAAGGGGCGGGGATGCAACATGTTGGAGAGCAGTGTCTTAGGGTTTGTCACTGTCTGTTGCGTCCAGTTTGTTGTGTTTAATCATCTCTCAAATTTAATAGTAAGAGCAAACGATCCATGTGTGTGTGTGTGTGTGTGTGAACATGTGCTAAGAATGTGGATCAGAAACAGAGTAAACTGCATGTATCACTTTCTTTTAAGGCTGTCAGTACCCTGATTTTGTCTTTTTAATTCTCCAAAGCGGCATTTTCAGCTCTGATGACAATGAGCAAAACACACATAGAGGCTTACACATCATGCACACATACATCAATACTAGCCCAGGGCTCTATCAATGTTTAGCAGCTGTCTCTAAATCCCAGATCATGCTAATAAAACATTCGCCTTTTCATTCAACCAGGCCATGGGTTTTAGCGGCTAACAGCAGAGAGAGAGCTTTCTCTCTCTTAAAGCACATGGAGCAAAACAAATTATTTCTCTGCATGTAAGACAAAGTGGACTAAATTAAGTATGTTGTTCACAAAACACATACAAGAGTTTTATAATAAAGGTGGTCGTGTGCAATTAACCAGTGACAGTAACCAGACTCATTGTCATTGGAGGAACAGGCCAAACACCTATTTAACTATTGAGGAAGTAAACCAAAAGATTTGATAAAATTCATACAGTTCAAATGCAATACTGCTGAAACACTAAGAGAATGTGTACAAAACCTTGAAATAATGGAACCAAAAAAGTCAAATATCATTTGCATTATGCTGTGAAATGTATTATGCTGAAGTTATTTTGTTAATTCTATTTGGAAAAAAACCCCAGCAAATTAACAGATTAAGTCTTAATAAAACAAAATACAATTAACAGCAATATTATAACATGATGTCAAAAATTTTAAGGGGTATATAACTGACAAAAGATGATGAAACAAAAACTGAAATATGAAAATGAATAAATACATATATAAATAAATAAAACACTATAATAAATAACAATATAATTGTAGAAACAAGTATAGAAATAAATAAATACATATAAAAATGTATGAATGAATAAATGAGTAAATAAATGTATACATAAAAAAATATATTTTGGTAATGAAAAGGAATAATTGTTTGTTTCTTCTTCTTGTATTTCTCCATTTATTTATGTATTCATTTGTTTTTTTCTCCTTTTTAGATTTTTTACAATTATTTATTTATTTATGTCTACTTTTATCTTAATATATATATATATATATTTATTTTTTTATTATAAATTCATTTATTTCAATTTTTCTTCATCAATTCACATTTATTTTTATATTTCCATATTAATTTATTTCTAGTTTTTGATATTTTCCACATTTATTTCTATATTTCCACATTTATTTATTTCTACATTTCTGTATCCATATGTTATTGAGGTTGGTGGTTCTAACATTTGTCTAACCATTGGTTAACAAAGAGAATCACACAGATGCATAATTTTTTACCTATACTAACCTCTCTTGTATCACCACCTGAAAGTTGTCCCCAAGAGAGTCTGTAGAGAGAGATGGCCATGGCTGAGTGATCCCAGCTAACCGTGAAGCTGTCTGTGTCGATGTCGCTGGAACGCAGATTAAGAGGACCAGGAATTGGAGCTGAAATAAAGATGGAGAATCTCTTTCTATTATTGTCTTCATCATGACGCTTCAAGTTTATATAAAGATGAATATGAAACCACTTTTGTGCTTTACATTCATCTTACAAGTGTTGTTTTGTTTTGTTTCTTTTTACCTTTCTAATATACACTCTTATCCTTCAGGTCCACACCATTACCTACTCACCCACTCCACAACTTTTACAATGCTTCCAAATTCATTTTAGATCATAAAATTACTTTTCATAAACCTGGTCCATTAACCAAAGTTTGCCAGTAGATAAATAACATTCAATGTGGTCTTAAAAGACTGCATATTTTAATAGCTGCTCACCACTGACACCTTTTTTGAGCTGATGCAGCACTTACTGCTTGTAGCTTAAAGGCATATTCCTACAAATCAATATGTGTTAGTGGGATGAAATAGTAAGGGACAGTGAAATGACCTCTTTATGTGGCTGAGCTATAATACTGAAGTGTAAATGGGGTTGGCAGGAAGCCAACATGACAGCAGGACCAGTAAAGGTATTACAATTCACCGCCGTTTGTCTTTGAAAGAGAAATGGTTTGCCTAATGATATCGATCAAGCTGTTTCCTGTAAACTGAGACAAATTATCCACAGCAAATGAAATCCTGGAATATCCATTAAATGAACAATTAAAAAGATGACAAAATACATATAATTGAAGTACTCAATGCTAATATAGGCAATAAGGAGAAATGTTTATTAAAATGTACTAACATTTGTTAGAAACATTCTTTCTAGTGAAATAGACAAGTTGATTCTTTGTAAATCAGCAAATAAACAATAAACTGTAATTAGATGAAACTGAGTATAAGATGTATGTAAAGAGCTACTGGCTAGAGGAAATGGGGTTGAGAAGAGTAAATTGCTATTAAGATTCGAGGTTATATGTAGATAGCAGTAATCTTTTAAAACCATGGTCTGTATCCAGTCTCCATATAATTATAAATTTAGAGATAGATCACTTTTTAGAGCAGCAGAGCTATCTATGCCATTTTTTCTAGGTAACATCACAATAATGGGCAAGCTAACACCAAAAATGTATAATCAGATGCCGTACAATAGACATAAGGAAGGTGCTAATTAGACAGTTTTAGACACGAAAGCAGGACTACAATAAATGTGCGGTTAATTACATCCAAAATAATTGTTCTCTAGATCGATCACACCTACAACATGTCATAGATGAGTTTAATATCTGTTGGACTAAACAGAAGCTTTGAATAACATTAAAACAATGTGATAACCTATCGTCCTTCTGACATAACACTCATTGAAGGCTTCTTACTGGTTGTGAAGCCATCAGTGAGCGGCTCTGATTGGCCCTCGTTGTACAGAGCAAAGATGGCCACCGAGTACTCCATCAGAGAAGTCAGCTTCCTGAGGTCAAAAGAATTAACTGGGCCCACCATCACCTGTACAAAACAAATACCAACATTAAATCTTTGATATCATGGTTGGCAACAAAAATATGAATAAACAATCAAAGTAAGTAAAAGAATAAATGTGATTATTAATATAGAGTCCACTAGGATCAAAGAATAACATTAGGGTTGGAGCAAACACCTCTTTGTACCTTTAATCATCTACCTTTTTCTTTAAAATCTGTACACAGCAGTGTTGTTTTAGTCAATGATGACAAAATCAATTCATTCATGATCCATTTTTTCATGACATTAATGAAAACTGACGAGCTAAACATGGATAGCGTATTGTCAGTCAGACGTTTAAACTGTTATCTGCTAGTCAGTATCAGCCGACATTGATCCTGCCACCCACCTGCCGCGCAGTGCTACACATGCTGCAGGAGCACACATGGATCATGGCAGCAGCGGCGGCAGGGTCTGGGAAAATAACCTGGAATGGTCCGGTAGAGCGCGTTTAACTCTGACAAACTGCTCTGATGTTCCAGCTGTGCTTGTGCAGAAATGCGTCTTTGTGCGCAGACCTCTGAGTCTGCGTTTCCTCGGATGAAAAAAAAGGACTAAAACTATCACATATTGTGTTGACTAAAATGGAACTAAGACTAATAGTTTTCGTCCTGAAGACTAAAGGCTGATTTCAGAAACCAGGTCGTCTGCATGTGTGTCACAGTGAACACAGACATGCCCCCCGCCCCTGCCACACAGAGAGAAACACACACCTCTTTTGTGATCACTCCATCAGTCCTGACACACATGATGCGGTAACCTTTAACTCCGCCAGGCGGAGGGTCCCAGCTGATGTGGGCAGAGTTATGAGTGATGTCTGAAAACTGGAGATTCCTGGGAGGACTGAGAGGCACTGATAAGAAAATATAGCAGTTTTAGAGGATTAAATATGTTCTTGGAAATCTGATGTTTTCATAACATGCCACAGCAAAACAAATGAAGAAGCCTTTCTCATGACATCAGTGACCCAAAACAACATTCTTATAATTGAAAATGAATGAGCCCAAGTTCTTTTTCTGTGTTTTTAAGCTTGAGTTTGAGTCAACTTTAAAATCTCTAATCAACACTTTATGTGGTTTTTAAAGGGTCTCTATAAGTGCATAACGTTAGTTTAGAAAAAAAAAGAAAAAAAAAAACTTTTCTGAAAAGAAAATTTGGAGCTGAAAACAAATGAAACTGAAAAATAATTTTTGAAACTGAAAAAAAGATCTAAAACTGAAAAACAAACTTTGAAACTGAAAAACCACTTATTTATTAAAGTTTTGAGTAAATAAAAAATGTATTAATAGCAGTAGTAGAAAATTTACATATTTTATTATTGTATACATCAATATTCTCTTTTAATTTCTTTTTAAGTTTCTTTTTGTTTCGTTTAAAACCAAATCTTTTTTTAAACATAATTTATTACCTCAACTTAGCTGTATAAACACAAGTTTTGAAAACTAAACAACAGATAGTTTTAACCTTGGTAATGATCATGTAATACATAAACTCCTCTGTGCCAGGTGATGTCACTGTAGGAAAACTTCTGTGTTCTTTGGGGCCGATCCAGATTACCCATTATCCATTATTATTTTTATTTATCGGATTATGCTTTGAACTCCAAATAGAGGAACAAAGATAATTAAGCAGTAGATGGAATCAGCCCTGTGCCTCCATGGAGAGACACGATTGAAGCTGGGTAGAACACACATTGTGCAGAGATCCTCCCTGTCAACTGAGCAGTGAAACATAAACATCTAGAAACATCTAGAGATCCAGTCCAGTTTATTAGAAGACAGTGAAAGCAAAAATAAAACATTATATTGGGTCTATATATATTGGAATCAGTGTTAGAATAAAAGGTCTTCTCTTGTATTTCCTTCAAAATGTATATTAAGAAGTTAATACTTGTTTACATCCTGTTTCTTGATTGAATGATTCTGAAATATAGTGTTATTACCAATAAGCAGCTTACTTTTCATGTCAGTCACCAGATTTGATATGTCAATTTTAGTTTTTGACATTGTGATACTACCAAAAATATTTTGTAATCTAGCAAGGTGACTTTGTTTATTAATTAAAATAATAAACATTAAAGGTACAGAGGAAGTTATTCTTTTTCCAGGTGGATCATCAAAATAAGTGGTCCTCCTAATTGTCAATCATTCTGGTGATATGTTTACATAAGGCCATCCGATGTGCTCATCTGCATTTTCACTTACCGCTGGTGAGACTGGGAAAAATTGCAAATTCTTCTTTTGGAAAGTAAGCTTGTACTGTATGAGCAAATAGCAGCAAATAGCAACTTTTAAACAGAGGGTGAACGAGGAGAAATGGCCTTGTGCACAGTTTCACAACTGTTTAAGAGGTGTATCCTTTCAGAAGCAGGTACAGGGTTGTGCATATGAATTTTTTTTTTTAAGTGGAGAGGGCAGGTCTTTTAAAAAATTCATGAAAATCCTCTACTATACCTTTATGATAAATTCTGTTCCTATTCATTAAACTGATAGGAACATGCAGTTTCGTAATGAGACATGCTTTTAAGTTGGAATATAATATTTTAAACTGAGACCAGGCAAAAACAGGCAAGAAAATCAAATTAAAATAGAGCCATTGCTATGAGAAGGCACATGCATTACCCACATGTTGCTTCCTGACTTGTTATTGGCTCACTGGCCTCCTCTCCATACATAGCATAAACAGTGACAGCATATTCTGTGTTGGGCGCCAAGTCACTCAGCTCCACCTCAGTTACTCCATTTGCTACATTAACCTGGGGACAACACTTTAAAACATAAATAAATAAAAATTACTTTACGAGAAAAACAAAAACAGAAAACATTATTCTTGTCTGTTTATTCATTGTCTTACCCCATTGTTGTTCAAGTCTCCATCAACTGTTAGAGGGGAATAGAGCACTGTGTAGCCAGAGACTCCATCCACACGGCTCCATCTGGCTCTCATGCTGCTGTGAGTAATATCTAACAGCTGGAGGCGGCTCACTGATGGGAGAGGCACTGCACACACAAAACAAGACATTCTCTCATGTATAAAGGAATAAATATTTGAAATCAAGCTTATGTTTGACTCCTGATAAATGCATTATTCAAGGAGGTTTTGGCCAGAAGACTTTAAATATTTTGTTACCAGAGGAAGGCAGGCAGGTATTTTAGGTTTTCACTAAAAGTAAATCTGTAATCCTATTTGGGGTACAGTACGTCTCCACCTGCTTCTCACATCTGTTGACTGGATTAGCTCTTAAGTCTTGCCACAAGTCCCAAGCTAGATCTGAAACTCTTTCTGGGCTTTGATCCTTTACAGCTCTAACTGTATGTTTGGCTTACTGTGTGTTTCATTTTGCTACTGGGAGCTAAACATTTGCCTGAGCTTTGTGGAAAAAGGTTTCCTTCAAGAATTGCTCTATTTGGTACCTAAACAACTCTTTCCAATTGACCTGTCCTTGCTGAAAAAAAAAAAGTGTCCGTACAACATGATGGTGCAACCACCATGCTTTATAGTTGAACTGGCATTATTTTTTTTACTGCACACAGTTTTTTGGACTTTTAGTCTCATCTGACTTCTAAGTCGCCTAAATAGCAAAAAGGAAACTTGATACTGGAACTCTATATTTCATTGTTCTTCTTCTTGTTAGACTTATATGCAGGTAATTATTATTCTTTCTAAGAGATTCTCCAAACAGAACTGTGAATCTCCATAAAGTAACAAGAAAATGTGAAAACGTTTAACCTATATGTCGTTTTAATCCCACTTTTCAAGAAAAAAAATATTGCTTCAGATCACACAACTCTATGAACATAGTTTTAACAAGCACACATAGTAAAGATGAATGTATTTCTATTTAACTACACTTCAATAACAGGCTGATTCTAATGGAATAAAGTTATTCATCAACCAATTCTCATTCTAACATTAATCTTTATAGATGTCTTGATACTGAACTTACAGGTGGTTTCTGATCCTCTTAGAGCTTCACTTGTTTCATCCTCATACACGGCAAACACAGCGAGCTGGTACTCGGTTAGAGAGCTGAGATGCTCTAACACCACAGAGGTCTCACTGCCAGGCATGACAACCTGATGTGTAAAAGAATTAGTCAAAAGAGGAGAGAGGGATGAAAGAAACAGAAGTATAGAAATTAATATGGATCAGTTCACCTTGAAAGGATTATATTTGTCATTAAGCGTGGTCATGTACGGGCTCATTAAGTTGGAAAAAGCATGATCACATGTACCATTTCTGGTCTCAATAAAATCCTAACACAAAACATTTCATAACTTCTATGCACTTCTATTTTGGATGTTTATGCATATCTTTCAAATAGCTATTTAAGTTTTGGGCACTCCTTTTACATTTTTACCCTGGAAAAACAGACACTGAAAGACGTACTCTGCTTGTTAGATAAAGAAAACATCAGAAATTAGACCCTTACAGCTACACTCACAAGACAACATTTTACCTTTTCACAGCATCATTCCATCGTTTAAATAGACAGCACTACCATTTATTAGATGTGTAGTTTCACTAAATTTAAACAAGTGTCTGCATTCAACATAGTACTGGTTTCAATACTTATCCACAGCCAGCTCTGGCAAACCAGAGCAATAAGGTAAGTATTAGGGAAAAACAACAACAACAACAACAAAAAAAAAAAACAGCAAAATGCCTATTCTCTCTTACCACCAACAGCTCAACTTTAAAAGATTTTCATCACACTTCCACAAATACTTTGGGTCACAATAAAATACAGTTTTTATCAAAGCTTCTGCAAATGGCTGCTATTTCTTAATTTCAACTAATAAACAAAAAAGATTAATTAAATGTATAGAGTGATGTTTTCAGTTACAGAAGGAACATAGCATTTACCTCCTGTGACTCTCCTCCCTGAGCAGGGCGATAAACCACTCTGTACGTCTCTACATTTCCAGGCGCAGGACTCCATGACACGCGAAAGCTCTGAGCTGTGGTCTCTGAGGTTTCCAGGCTGTGTGGCATTCCCATATTTTGTGGCGTAAATTCTGGACACAACATATGTAAACACAAGGATGATTTGGAGGAAAATTAAATAGAAAATTTAGTAATATAAGCACAAGTGAGGAGACTTATAACAAATATAGTTTAATGAACAATCCTGGTAGGAAGAAAATACACGTGGAGTTGGGAGGGGTCATTGATGATGTTATGGGCTAAGAACACGCAGAGCTGGGATGAAATGTCTTTCAAAACGGGCAAAAGAAAGATGCATTTGTCGGCCGCATAACGAGGAGTCTTCCAATCCGAACAGACCACAGCGCTGCAATATGACGTAAGCAGCCAACAAACCTGGCCCTCGTAGGACACAGCCTCTGAATTTGAAGTCTGCAACAGACTCCACAGTTCAGGCTGGAATACCCTCTATTTCATGTTTTGGAAAATTATCCTTTTTAGATGTAAAATATGTTTGTGCGATCCTCCTAACCAGATCTGGTGAGAGTTTCATTTTTTAGCTAACTCCGCTAATTAATCAGAGCTGATACTGCTGATGTGATTGGCTAAAAGCTTGACATGGGAGGCAGGTGTTAGTTGGTGATTTACCAAATCAGCTCAAAGAATTGTTCTGAATGACCCTGTCTTTTGCAAACCCTTTCCACTGGAGCCTTTTCAGACAGACAGAGCACAAAATTCAAATTGAACAATACTTATCAATCTGGCTTATATATTTCTAGTTCTCTTGTTATTAATGTCATTTCCTTAACCTCTGCCCTTTATTTTGTCTCTTTGTTAAAGAATCTAAATCACCTTCACAATGAAATTTGCTATACAGACAAAAGTATCTTACTTTACATTGACCTTCATTTGTTTTGGAGTAATGATTATGTAAGATGATGTTATTATTATGAATGACAGTACAAAATACGCTCCGCTGTCTCTCTGCCTTTCATTCCTGTTCCTTACTCTGCTTGATGTCTTTGTCTTGCAGCTCCACTTGTTCACACACTTTCTTTGTCAATCCCTCGACTATAGAGCTCATAATGTTGAAGTCAGCCACATTGTAGACGTGACTGTGATGTGGCTCAGAGGCGATAGACCGCAGCTCATTCTCATCAGCATTCTTTACGCCTAGAAGAGAAAAGGACATGTGATTGTTGGCACGGCAGAAACTGCAGAGGAAATATATATATATTTACAAGCCATATATATATTTTCATGTTCTCATGAAAAAAAGCTTTAGAACAGAAGCCCCATAATGTTTTTGGGAAAAAAAAGACGATTTAGAGGAGCAGAATAGAGTAGCTGTGATAGAATCAGATCTGTTCTCACCAATAGCAAACAGCTCAACACCAGCTTTTCGCAAGCTCTCTGCTGGGGGTACAACGTCGTCCTGGGATTTTCCATCTGTGATGAGAATCCCAATCTTTGGCACACCTGCCCTTGAGCCAGACTCAGGCTTGAAACAGTTGTCCATAATAAAATTCAATGCAAGCCCTGGAAAGAGTGTTAAAGTGTTAAAAGAGGGGGAAGATAATGAATACCTGTGAATAAAAACAAAGGTTAACAGGCAAGTGTCATTTTAGAAAAAAGATCCTTTAGAGATAAACAAACATAGGAAGAGATAATATTGTGTGCATGTTTTTTCTTCTTGTGTGGACTCCTTGTGGGGCCCGATGCTAGGAAATCATGTTTAGGAATAAAGTGTTAATTGAGTTTAGGTTGGTGTTAGGTATGAACCCATAATGATTAGAGTTAGAGTGATGGTCATGGTTAAGCTGTAGAAATTAATGGAATTCAACGGAAAGGCCCCGCAAAGTTAGAGAGACTAGGTTTGTGTGTGTGTGGGCAAAAGTGAAAATGGAACATTATATATTATTTTTTGAGAAACAGAAGAGAAGGGCACTTGAAAGCAGGTGCAAGCATCATTCCAGTTCCCATACACCACCTGTGAGAGTGTTTCCTCCTTTATATGGCAAGTTTTTAACTGCATCGATGACAGTGTCTTTTGTAGAGTAAGTATTTAGATGCCATTCTATCCTGGGATCACCACTGTACTGTGCCAGACCTGGAAACAGACATACAGAGTGTATGTGTACTCATTCGCTGATCTACAAGGCCCTCCACATTTTAACCAAACCTGGTAAAAAAAAAGTAAAAACTAGATTTAGTCATTTCAGCGAACGTTTTAATAACTGTAATAATACTTCTTATAGAAGCCCAGTTCAATTATCCATTCTTTAAAATAGTAAAGACAAAATTACCTGTCAATTACATTAATGGGAAAATTATCAGACCACAGTTATTTTATTTTTTAAATAACTTTAAAGTAGCAACTTTTCTCAACTTAGAGCTGCCTATACAGTAGTTTCAACTGATCCTTTAAAAGCGACACTAGATTAAGACTCAAGTTTATCCTATCAACACATAGAGTAAGAACAGGAAGTTAGGGAAGAGAAATCTTCAAATCTCACTTAGTTATCTCCTATATTATACTGCTTTATTAAAGCAGGTATTTTCCAGGGATACCAGTTATGTTGTAGATGGTTTACATGACTACTATAATATCATAAAAATAAAACTTATAAAACATATTTCAGTTTATGGAATGAAATAACATTAATGATCAGGCAGCTTTCCAAGTTGTTAAATAAAATAAATGGCCGGGACCCACCTATCCTGGTCTTATCAATGCCAATATCGAATGCATTGATCAGGTTTTCCAAAAACATACGGACCAGCCTGAAGTTGATCCGGCCTATGCTCCACGAGCCGTCCACCAAGATCACAATATCTGCAATGGCCTCAGTGTGGCACACAAACTGGTCGGCTAAAAGGATAAAGAAATAAAGATGAAAAGACACAAGATAAAAAGAAATAATTAGTTGAAAAGGTTTGCAGGTAATTATCCAATTGACTCAAAGTACTCACACAATTATTCACTTCAAAAACTCTAAATAATACAATAAATGCTTGCAACACCTTAGATTAAATTGGATTATGTTTTTTTTTATAACCACTGCATCATAGGAACTGTTTAACTGGAAGTAGGTTTAAAGAAATAATGAAATAAATACTGGTCTATTTGGAATTACATCCTAACCTAGTCTCCAAGAGAAAAGTGAAAAACTTACACCATCTGGCCTTAATAAATCATTCCTCACAACTTAAGTAACACGTACACTCACATGTTCATGCATTATTTCAATAAAGCTTATCTTGTCATCCCCCCAGCGTTATTTCCTGTAAATGACTTTATCCACTTATGGTTGTGTCATAGATAACTTTCTAGTCTAGAGAGGAAATGGAGAACAATCAAAAACATGCTGACAATAAAATGTATGTGCTAGTGAAGAAAAGACATAAAGAGAATGCTGACTGCACAGAATGCGAGTTATTACTTTGTTTTGCTCAGAGGAGTATGTTGTGCGATTAAGATAATTATTAGTCATTGTAGCTTATTTAGCTAGTACTAACTATTATAAAGCCAACCAAGTTATGTCTAACATCTCAGCTGAATAAATGCAGAGTAGGTGAGATTTATCATTCTACTCTAACAAACAATTCAGCTTTGATTACGGAGGATGGCAACACTTAGATAGATAATTGTTGTTATACTAAATGTTCCACCTGCACCATTTCTGCCATAACAAAATCTAAAACGCTTAGAGCCACTGGTATTTTAGCATCAGACTGTACAAGTATCTGTTTCAAAGAATGACTTTGCAAACAGAGCCATCTGTCTGCTGTCACTGCGTGTCAGCATGTTTGAACCACCCAGCTGTTATAGGCAGCAGATAAAAGACAGACGTCAAGAAAGCATATTTCAGGGACGAATGATGACATTTCTTTTTTTTTGTTTGCTGCTGCCTTACAGGTATGACTGAGGCATTATAGACAAATACAGAAAGCTCCAATACAGTGAAGTAAAGGATGAAAGATAAATGATTTTCAACATTGTTTGAAAACAAAAAGCTAAAAACTATGGTGCACATTTGTATTTAGACCCCTTTATTCTGATAATTCTAGCTTAGATAGGGTCGCAGAGGTGTGTTATAGGAAACAACATTGAGTAAACAGTGAAGACTAAGGATGACACCATTAAACAGTAAAACAAAACTCCCAAATCTTAAACACCTTGTAAAGCACTATTAAATCAAACATAAAAAAACAGCGTAGAGTCCCATTGTTACTCAGGAGGAGCTGCAAAGGTCCTCATCTAGTGCAAAAGAACCTATCAGAGGGACATCACTTAATCATGCACTCCACAAAGCTGGCTTTTATGGAAAGCTAACAAGAAGACATCCATTCTAGATGAAAAGCAAAAAAAAAAATCCAAATTTCTATTACTTATTATTACAAGTAAAGTAGGCAGCCCAGCACAATGATGCAAAATATGCAAGATCACACTCTGGCCACAGGAGAATTCAACTTTGAGGCCTTCAAATAAGGCACCATGTGAACAAGAATTACCAGAGTATATCAAAGAGATGGTAAATGAAAACAGGGAAAGCTGATGCTGAGATGAATAGAGCTTAATTACTTCTTCAAATTATGCCTAAAGCAGTAATTCACTTGATCAAAACATGTCTGAGAAGTCTGCACTCTTAGCAGCCTGTCCTATCTGCCTTGGAATAAAGAATAGCCAAGACATATTTACATTGAGATGCCTTTACCGACCCACACCAAGAGGCACCTAACTCCATCACCTGCCTACTGCTGTGTGATGTTAGGCATTATGCCTCAAATGCAACCAGTATTTCATAACAAATTAATACACTGTAGCGAGGATGCCCCTGCCCTTGTTCCTTTGCACAAAAAGGTGCCCTCCTTAAAATTCTCCTTTTTCTTTTTATACTATACTGACTCGACATTTCCCACAATGCACCTTGAAAGTGTAGTGATCATCTATGGTCACCATATGAGCAGATATATACCAAAATGCTTCGCAAGAGCTCTCCTCACAAAGCATCATGAATTTGTTGTGTCTGTAAAGAAAAATAAAGACGGCGCAGGAACGGTGCGGTAGCAAACCAACAGGTAGCAAAAAGTAGTGACCATCTGTCTAAACGGTCACTTATCTGAGTAACCTGACAGTTACCCTTTGCTCCACTTAAGCCCTTGTCCTGAAATATCTGTGCACGCACCACTGCTTCGTAGTGCAAGTGGGGATATTGCAATATATAGTTGACTTTCATTAGGCTTAAAAAAGCGTATCTGAAGAGTTTATTTTGTGTTGATCTATCCATTTATCTCTTACTATAAACAGAATTTTCATACAGGTTTGTGGCTGAAAAAACATGAACAAGGCAGTAAAGAAAAGCCTCCTCCTACTATAACTGAATACAATATTGCGGACACATGTTCATTTACAAACTAAGCATCTTTCTGGGTGGGGGGCTTTAGCTATAAAAGGTTAGGAAAGAAGGTGCTGGGGGGGAGAAGCAGTGTTAAATCTGCAAAGCCATTATGCCTGAAGATCCAGGTGGTAAACGAAGGATAAGAGGGTCAGTAATTATAGTTAATCACAGCTCACAAACCAATCCTAACTTTTATTATTTGCAAGGTGACAAGCATGTCAGCTAAAGTTAGTCACAATGTTAGTGTTTCGCCTGTGAACCAATAATTAAGATAATTTGTGTCCTTCACATAATAACCAACAACATCTGTAAACAGTCTGGTCAGTTAAAGGAAACAATTTGTTGCCTTTTATCTTTTGACAGGTTGACATTTTTTACTCATCACCACCAGAATCAGAGAAAAAGCTCATCATGATGTTCAAACAGCCAAAGAAGATATGGCACTATTACACTACTAACATTTTTTTTATTATACTAAAGTTAAAATATTACTTTTGTATTAATTTGCACCTAATAAAATAATGAAAATACAGAAACTTTATTTCAGTACTGTGGAAGCTTTAATACCATAATCTGTTAAAGCTGTGAGGACATAATCTAGTGTTAGTAAGAAGTTTTCTGATGGACAGACAGCAGTAGCCTGGTCAAAGGTCTCTCTGCTCTTTTAAAGTCTTTGCCTTTCTGCTTTCATCTGTTCTCTAGAAGTCTCAGAGCTCTGCTATGGGTTAAAGTGCAGTTTTAGTAGATCAGTGGGGAGCAGAGAGGGATGGTAAAAAAGAAATTAGGTTGAAGGTGACAGATAAAAAGCACTAAATTAAAACACTGAGTTCTGTTCTACAATTTGCTGAACACGTTAGATTATCAGTACTAGAAGCAAAATCAAACATTTAGAAAGGTTCTAAAAATCTATGAAAGTAAAATTTAAGGAACTGATTTCATCTTCATTCTTGATGTTGAATGTTAATATTAGTTGTTTGATGATCTGAATGTTTTGAGGTGGTGGAACAGCGTAAACATGTTAAACAAATAAAGTGCTTTTAAACAGATTTTTATCGTCTGTTCAAATACCATGAAGATTAAGTGTTATAAATATATATATATACATATATATACATACATACATATAAATATAAATATATATATATATATATATATATATATATATATATATATATATATATATATATATATATATATATATATATATATATATATACACACATATATATACACACAATATATATAGGAGTCATTCATAATTTCATAATTTCTAAAATGTTTCAAGCATACTCCGTACCAAAAAGAAAGGGTACCTTCAAAGTCTACTTAATTTATTATATTTTAGATAAAAAAAACAAGTAAATATGTAGCCATTGTTTTAGATTATTGCTGTCGTTGAACCTTTACAACATCCCCTTAGTCAGATTGCATCAAACGCACTGATCATATAGCAACCACTGTGTAGCAGAAATCGACAAACACGTCAACTCTTTTTCTAAAGAACGTTTTAAAGCAATTTTTTCAAGCTGTTATGTCTTGTAAATAATGATTACAATAACATGAAAACATGAAGTAAGACAGTTACTGGCCACTGGAAAAAGGCTAGAAGACACTCTTGAGCTAGGAAAGGACCAGAAGGAGTGCAGAGCAAGAAGCCTGGTAGAAAGCAGCACAGGAGGGCTCAGTAAGTTGACTGGGACCAGGACTGGGGCTACAAAAAGAGGACGAATGGTTTATTATGTTTTCTTACACATTATGGCTTCTTTGGGTGACATTACACCTTCTTCGGGAGACATTTGTGGGTGCCTTTTCCACCCACAAACTCTATAGAGCATTCCTCTTGCATCAATATAAACTGTTCTATCTTCAACTTTGATGGGAAAAGGCTTAGTCTCTGCTGGGCTCCTTAATCCAACATCACAAAAACATCCAGTCCCTTTGTTGGTTGACACAAGACCATTTGACAGAATAGTCCAACTCTGGACAGGGGAACGCCATGAGGTGGTTCCCTTATAGCACTGCCTTTATCTCTGTGGAAAGATGGAAGCCACATTGGGGAGTGAGATGGGAAAAAAAGCCTATTTCACACTCTATCCTTGACCTGGTGCAGATTGAGATATATATATAAAAAAACCCATCAGCACTAGAAAAGCACATGCAACACAATGCCCAGCAATTCTGGGCCCTTCTGCTATAACATCCTAGGGAGTTTTGATAAGGGGGAGGCCGAAATCCAAAATTCACTTTTTGTTTAGAAAGCAAGCTGCACAGAATTTTCCATCAACATTGAAGTCTTCAGTCTCTGGGCTCCACATGGTGAGTCCAAATCCCAATTTGTTGGGCTTTTCTGCCTTGAAGCGAGCATGCACATCCAAGATATTATCCCATCTCACCTTTAAGTTAAACAACTGCAGCCAGCTTGCATTCAATCGCACGCAGCATATGGCTCAGCTCACGGTCCTGCTCGTTC